CCCCCCCCCCCCCCCACCCCCCACACACACTCAAAAAAGTCGACAGCTATTAGAGACTAACTCCCGCAACAGATGAAGGAGACTGCTGAGGCCTACCTCGGCAAGAAGGTCACCCACGCCGTTGTTACCGTTCCCGCTTACTTCAACGACAACCAGCGCCAGGCCACCAAGGATGCCGGCATGATCGCCGGTCTCAACGTCCTCCGCATTGTCAACGAGCCCACCGCCGCCGCTATCGCCTACGGTCTTGATAAGACCGGTGAGGAGCGTCAGATCATCGTCTACGACTTGGGTGGTGGTACTTTCGATGTGTCCCTTCTTTCCATCGAGCAGGGCGTTTTCGAGGTCTTGGCTACCGCTGGTGACACCCGTCTCGGTGGTGAGGATTTCGACCAGCGCGTCATCAACCACTTCGCCAAGACCTTCAACAAGAAGCACGGTGTCGATGTTACCAAGGACGCCAAGGCCATGGGCAAGCTCAAGCGTGAGGCCGAGAAGGCCAAGCGTACCCTTTCTAGCCAGATGTCTACTCGTATTGAGATCGAGTCCTTCTTCGACGGCAAAGATTTCTCCGAGACTTTGACTCGCGCCAAGTTCGAGGAGCTCAACAACGACCTTTTCAAGAAGACCCTCAAGCCTGTCGAGCAGGTTCTCAAGGATGCCAAGGTTTCCAAGTCCGAGATTGACGATATCGTCCTTGTCGGTGGTTCCACCCGTATCCCCAAGGTCCAGGCTCTTATTGAGGAGTACTTCAATGGCAAGAAGGCTTCCAAGGGTATCAACCCTGACGAGGCTGTCGCTTTCGGCGCTGCCGTCCAGGCTGGTGTTCTTAGCAACGAGGAGGGTACTGAGGACATCGTTCTCATGGATGTCAACCCCCTTACCCTCGGTATCGAGACCACGGGTGGTGTCATGACCAAGCTCATCCCCCGCAACACCCCTATCCCTACTCGCAAGAGCCAGATCTTCTCCACCGCCGCCGACAACCAGCCCGTCGTCCTTATCCAGGTCTACGAGGGTGAGCGTTCCATGACCAAGGATAACAACCTCCTTGGCAAGTTCGAGCTTACCGGCATTCCTCCCGCCCCCCGTGGCGTTCCCCAGATTGAGGTCTCCTTCGAGCTTGATGCCAACGGTATCCTCAAGGTCTCTGCCCACGACAAGGGCACTGGCAAGGCCGAGTCCATCACCATCACCAACGATAAGGGCCGTCTTACCCAGGAGGAGATTGACCGCATGGTCGCTGAGGCCGAGAAGTACGCTGAGGAGGACAAGGCCACCCGTGAGCGCATTGAGTCTCGCAACGGTCTTGAGAACTACGCTTTCTCCCTGAAGAACCAGGTCAACGATGAGGATGGCCTTGGTGGCAAGATCGATGAGGAGGACAAGGAGACCATCCTTGACGCCGTCAAGGAGGCCCAGGACTGGCTCGAGGAGAATGGTAAGCTTTATTTCCATCCGCCTTGACACATCAAAGACAACATGCTAACAATTCTTTTCTTCCAGCCGCCACTGCTTCCGCTGAGGACTTCGATGAGCAGAAGGAGAAGCTCTCTAACGTCGCCTACCCCATCACCAGCAAGCTTTACAGCCAAGGTGGTCCCGAGGGCGCCGATGATGATGAGCCCGCTGGCCATGACGAGCTCTAAACGAAAATAATCTAGATTCCCCCTGCGTTTTCTGTTTTTGGTTGACGTTAAAAAAGAAATGCGTCGTTTATGGTTGGTTGGGTTGCATATTTTACCTGGTGTTTGGCCGGTGAAATGGTGGTTCAAATAGGAGTTTTTAGTCCTCATGAGTCCCCAGATCTATTACGCAAGTGGGCATGGTTCAGTTAGAAGAGCGTTTGCCATTTGTTTGTAAAATATGAAGATAACCTTATTGGCCAAAACGTCGTGTTTCCCAGATTCCCGTTTGATTTCCTACTACCATTCTGGCGAAGCATCCCACCTGTCCTCAGTTCTTGCTCACATGTAGTCGATGTCTTCTTCACTGTCTATGTTGTATCCTTCGCTCTTTCTCTTGGCCTGCACAGATTCTTCCAATAAATCCTGCCACTTCGGACAGTGGAAGATAAGGGACATCTTGTATATCCTATCATCTTGCTCGCTCGTGTCAGGCATGTCCTCGTCGTCGTAGAAGAATGGATGATTTCCTGATTTCCAGTCCGCAATGATCTCCTGACGCAACATCATTCGCTTCCGGCATTCCTCTTGCTCCTCTTCGTCGTCGTCTTCACTGTCATCTTCACTGTTCTCTCCATATTCCTCTTCCTCATCGTCCTTACGGTCCCTGTCGCTCAACACACGTCCTTCTCCTTGCTGGCCCTGCTGTTGCTCCTTAAGTTTCTTAAGTTTCTCAAATTCGTCATTTTCCCAAATCTCATCATTGTAAATCGTGAAGAATAAGTACCAAGCTATGATTCTCTTACAGCGTTGTTCTCTTATTTTCTTGTTGTTCTCGTCGCTCTCGTTTTCCTCGGACTTCTTGCTGTTTTCCTTCCTCGCAAAAAAACTTGACAAAAAAGGGCCACCAAGACCAGCCTTGCTTTCCGGAGTCGCTCTTCTTTTTGTTCTTCTGGTTCTCGAGAAAAAGCGCGAGGACAGCTTCGGGGTCTGCAAAGCAGGAGGTGAAGGTTTTCCAGGTTGAGTACATCTGGGAGTTATTGGGAGTTTCTGTGGGAGTTTGGTCGGTCATATTATCGGTCATATTATCAGTCATGTTATCGGTCATGACTTGAATGGGGACGGGAGGGTTCAATTGTAATTTTGATGATGAGTTCCATTGAGGCCGAACTAGTAATTGACTGGTTGGGTGCAGGTGTGTAGTGCGAGGCGAATTATGCTGGCAGCGGGCGGGTAGGAAAGGTACATCTACTTATTTGAAAGAGCAGGACAGGGCACAAAGGGGCTGACGGGTGGACGGGCGTGGATGCTCGTGCATAGTTGTGGATGAGTCCTTTGTTGGTTTTGGTGAATGTCTTTGTCATGCGCATGCGCTCATGGCGGCCAAGGTGATGCAGACAACGGATGGGATTTGCAGTATGTGTCAATGAATTGTTCTTTACGGGTACGGTACTCGTTTGGTCTTTGGAGAGGATATGGATAAAGGTAGGGTAGATACAGATGGAAGTTGAAGATGGACAAGTGGCCTAGTGACTCTTATCCTCCTCCTCCTCCTCCTCTTCCTCCTTACAAATCTCCCCAGAAACAGCTTTTTCGAAAATACCCTCCTCAAGACATGGGACATCCTCGATAATATCCTGCTCAGGCAAAGGTTCATAACTCCCCGGAATGCCACAATCCCATCTCGTTATTTCCTCGTTACCCCATCCTTCTCTCTTCGTTTTCTTTCTCTTCGGACTTTCTCCATCTCCTTCTTCCCCTTCCCCTCCTTCCCCTTCTCCATTTCCCTCTTTATGCTCTTCCTCCTTTCCAAAACCACCACCGACATGCACGCTCCTACCCATGCCAATGCTCATGCTCATACCAGTCATATCCCTAGTAGCTATAGCCAAGGACACAGCGGCGGGATTCTCATGGCTGGCTTGACACTACTCCGCTGATGTTATGGGGGTACATGTACCAGGATCTGGAGTGCTAAACTGAATGCTGGGCATATCTCTACGGCCGGCGGTAGAGGTAATAATACCAGTCTTTTGAGCCTGGTGTGGGTGACCCGGGTTTTCTTCAGGCGGCGTGCTGGAAGTAAACTTTTGTGCCCGAGCCCTTGATCGACGAAGGGGCTTGATCGGTCGGGGCCTCGCTTTGGTTTCTTGAGGTCTGAAAGGGTCAGTAATCCAAGGGGAGGCCGTGGTAATTAGTTCTTCGTCCGCTTCATCATCATCATCATCATCATCATCATCATCATCCGGTTCTTTTCCCTTTGTGTTTTGGTTGTGGGAGCTTGAGCTTGGGCTTGGGCTTGGGCTTGGACTTGTCGGACTTGTTGGGCTTGTGTAATGGCGACAACGCTTGTAGGGTGTATAAGGCAGGCCGCGAGATTTGGACTGATCTCGACCTGTGTTGGTGTCGAAGGTTGTTGACAGTTTTAAAGGGGGTTTCGCGTCTGAAACTTCGGCTCGGAGATGTTGTTCTTTGACAGAGACATCGTGGTGGTTATGGGATGGTGAAGATTTGGCCGGGGCTGGGATTGAGGCCAAAGGAGGGTCAAAAGCGTGAAGAGATATCAGCGGCCTACTAAGGTATGTTTGTCTTCGTTTTACTCTTTTTGGGAGTCTGTTGAGCTGGTGTGTGTGTATGTTGACAAGCGGAAAGCTGGCTGTTTATGATATACATATTGACAATCATACAAACGTTTGTTGTCGCCTTGCCCGATTAACTGTAGCCGATAGATAGGTGAAGTGTGGTAAGAAGACACGTCGTATTGAGCGAAGCGCCCTGGGTTTCTTCCATGCGTCAACAGCGCTAATCCACCTTGAAAGGAATACATCGGCGTTGTAGACGCTCTCAAGAACAACCACGGAAGACACAAGCACATGACTTTGCGACTCACCTGGTATAACCGCCCGGTAAACGCCTCACGGGTTTTGTTTATAGAGAATTCGCTCTCGGAAGAACAAGTCCAATATTCTGTGAACGGCCAGGAAGGAGAGAATCTTATTTCCGAGTGTCCAACTCAGTCCCAGAATGAAATTGACACGCCTACAACTGCTAGGTACAATTACACATCTGCCGAATGTTACCAACAACACAATTCAGCATCCCACTAGGTACTCTATCCTTTTCCACCCCTGGCAGTGAGTGACCTGCATCGCCAGACCAGTCCGTATCGTAGCTCAGCGCCCCGAGCTTATTCTAGCTCGCCTTCTTTCCTCGATCGCTTTCATTTCCTCAATTTTGCCCTGCAACCATTTCTCCAATTCCTCATGATCGTCTTCTGGCTCATCCTTCTCGGGGTACTTTCCATGGCTAAAGGGAGCCATCCGACGCTGCAGGGGGGCAATTATATGGCACACACAGTCAGTTCGGATCATCTAAATACTAGATGCCGCTGTATAATGAAATAGATGAAGATTGAACAGTTGGGGGTATGTGACCGGTTGGGCAGGACATGGTATGGGCAGAAAACATACATTCGCGGTGGTGGATGATTGCTCTGAACCAGAGGTAGGATCCAAGTTGAATTTTACCGGAGGCTTTTTCCTCTTCTCGTCCTTATCTTTCTCTCTTTTTTGTGTTGATGAAGAGTCCTTAACAATGAATGATTCCCCTATTTGCGGGGGACTTCTCGGGCGGCGCCGATGGTTGGACCCGCGAGGTATGCTGACGAGACGCGTGTTGTTCACGCTGGTGGCTGATGAACCATGCGTTGAGCTTGTGCTTGTTGAGTCGTATCTGTCACTCATGTTGACTGGAGGCGGGTTTGGCGTTTGGGCTTTATGTTTCTTGCGTTCGGGGTTGTGATGATGTGGAAACAATCGTGTCGACGGGCATCTTCAGACAGTGGTTGCAAACAGAGCTTTATACCTTCATCTCGTTTTACCGCTTCTTGGACATCTAATATTGGATGGAGACTGTCATGAACGACATCGTAAAGAGACTGGACCACAGATAGTTGGCGCCGCAGAAGGATCACGTGGAAATGTCCTTCATCATGACGGGATCTTACCCGCGCGGCCCTTGTAGATAAACTATCAATCCCGGGCGGCAGAAGACGGAAAAGTAACTCGGGGAGTCACTGGACCAGTTGATCACGAAGAACATGTAGAATGGTGCTTGAAGTCTGCCTGTACCCATCCCAACATCAACACCGCGGACATTTTTCACTTCTTGTAAATGATCAGCATCACGCGTCAAAATTCCAGTTTCTCTTTCTCTCGCGCATCCGGCTGCCTTGCAAAGTTTCTTTCCCGTGCTTCCTCAGCATCAGATTTATTCGTACCTCGTAAACACTCGTCTGTTTCTAGACTGAAATTTACCCCATGTCACAGTCAAACTGGTCGACTACTTACTTCTTGTCCCAAGATAAATACCACACAGGATTTGTTAACCCAAAGATTTACTGACAATCAACAACTCGGCGGCTGAAAAATCTTCAAAGAAACAATATCTATAATTTTGTGTTCCGTAGGACAGGAGGTGGCATAGACACATACAATTGTCGTTGGAATTGTTGGAGCTCATTTTGACTGGAACTTTGGGTTGTAGGCGTGATAGTAACTGGTGGCTTCTGGGTTTTGTTTTGGGGAAGGAACAGCGAGTGGATGGTGCTGGTGTGTGAAGGTGATGGTATGTGGAAATTCCTGGGAAGGCGCAGAGGATGGGGCATATTATTCGCCCACGGCCATTGTCTCTTCGCGTTCCTTCGCCATCGACGTCGAGTAGATTACGTGGAACACTCACTAGATGAACGACATGGTCAGCGGACTTGATGAGTGGTATCAAACGCTTTGTGACGGGTTCATCCGGACGTCATGGGGATGTCAAAACTACTCGGTTGAAGGGGAAGGAGGGCGGGATACATGAGGTGAAATTTTGCATATCAGGGCCAGAACTGCCCAGACCTAAAGCTGAATCTGAAAAAGGATGAGTGGTCGATTTCATCGCTGTCACCAAGGACTCTTACCCACTCAAAAGTGCGATGAAGAGGACGTGAGTCTTGATATCAAGTCAAGAATTTGTCAGTTTCTCGTCCATCGCTTGCATGTCTCTACCTAGCGGGAATTTACGACCAAACGCTGACCGAGCCTTGCACCTTTCAGTCCGTCATCGAACCCAAACAATAAAATACTCGCGCCTCCCTCTTCACCTCTCCACTGCCCTTCCATCTCTCCCGCCTGTCCCGACAAGTGGAAACTCCAAGCCTTTACCGTGAGGTACCCATCTATCAATAAACGCATCCACCAAACTGTCCAATTACATCCCCACCACCCCTTCAAGACCAATCTTCAAGTTCCTTCCACACAGCGCGCCCGGGTTTGCTGTCGTTTCCATCCACTGCCGTTTGCGGTGTCTCAAAAGGAAAGCGCTATATTAATCAGTTTCTGGTTCTTCCTCCTAGCAGTCGATTTGTATTCCTTAACCACCGTCATCTGTGTTTTGTGCAGGAACTTTGGGATCAACTTACCGTATCGATAACCTGACACCTTGAACCTTGATGACCTCTCACTCCTGGGTCTTCTTGCTGCTTGTACTCTACGGCTTCCCGTTGGTACTACTGCTGGACTGCGAGTCCCGTGAGCTGACGCTAAATCTTCTTATGATATTGCCGAACCGCGTATCTGGCTTCTCTTCCTTTGGTTTTCTGGACTTCTTTCCCTCCCGTGACTCCTCCTCGTCGCTATACCATCCACTCTTCATATGTTCCGGAACATCTGATGTGTTCGAGGCGTTGGCAGACATGGTTGCTGTTGTGAATATCGGTCGGGTGGGGCACGTGACTGTAGAAAAGTTGCCGTTGGGTGTTGCTTATGATCGGGAGAATCAATCTGTCGAGTGGGGGTGCAGACTCTGCATGATATCGTGGATAAAAATTGGGAGTTACGGCAAAAATGAGACAGTTGACCAAGCCGGAGTATGTTCCGACCTATATATCAACCGCACTCTTCCGCTCGCCCACTGGGCGATTCGATTATAAGTGTTGGGCCGCGTTTACGCTATGGGCAACACATGATTTACATTGGCAGTAGGCCTCGGTTTGCCCTCGGATTAATGGTTTTGGTGGACAATTAGGGCACTGCTCTAAATTTTGTATGCTAGACTCACCGGTGCGGCACGTCTCATGCCCTACGGGAGGCGGAAGTAGACGTTAAAAATAACAACAACAACAAATATATATCAACCGCTAGTGTTAGACCGATCAGTGGAGCCGGTCGTTTCGCGGTAGACACTCGCGCAAAACTGATGCCGTGAGCTGATCAGGTTCTCCAACTTTTGTACATGGGCGGCTAGAGTGTAAGGTACAAAAGAAGTATCCTTGACGCTTGGTTGAATGCTAGCCGCCTGGATCCGATTGTTAGGTAGGTGGGAGTGTAAAAAGTCATGCTTCCTGCCCAAAGGATCTAACAACCGGGGGGGAAAAGAAAAAAAATGGGGGAAAAATAGTCGGTAGCGACTCCAGCGTAGGATGTATGTGAAACAGAAAAAAATGAAAATAATAAAAATAAACCAATCAAACACAGACGACGGTTTAGACAAGAATGTGGGGAAAAAAGATCCAATACCAGGAGCGTGAGCTCAAAACGTCTGTTATCAAGCAAACAAACGATATGTACAAATACCAACTCCTTATCTCGCCCTTTGACCAAAACCCACCTCCATGTCAAACACCTTATACCAACGTCCCCATGAAGCATTACTTCGTAAACAACCATAATATCTTCCCTAAAAACTACAACCAGCCATATTCCGCCGGCTTGTCATCCCCCTGCTCGACGGTCTTGTATCTCTCATTCCCCCACTTCTGCGGTGGTCTCACTTCGGAAATGGGAGTCCACCTCTTGCTTATCCGTTCCTCATAAGATTCCTGAGGATAATGAGAATAATGAGAAGTCAAAGTAGAAACAGCTGATACAGGCCGTAGAGCCTCTGAATAGTATTCTAGGGAGGAAATCCCCGACACGATTCGCGGGTATTGTCGATATTCTGTCCCCCCTTCTTGTTGTTGTTGTTCTTCCTCTGCATATTCTTCTTCCCATACATCTTCTTCTTTCAATCCTCCATATTCTTCTTCTCCACGTGCCCATTCGGAAACAGGGCTCGGTTCCTCGTAGCTGGGGTCCTCGTAATTCGGGTTCTCGTAACTCAGGTTATCATAACTCGGATCCTCGTTGCTTGGGTTCTCGTAGCTCTGGTCTTGATATCTCGGGTTCTGATAGCTCGGTTCCTCGTCACTAGGGTCTTCGTCACTGTTGTATTCGTACTGGTTAACGGACTTTGCTGGTAACGGAGGAGGTAGAGGTGGTGTAAATGATCTCGACTTTTGCGTGACGAAATTGTGACTATCCCTGGGGTTCAGGTAATAGTCAAGGTCATAGCTGCTCGTCACGTTCTGCATCCCTGTACAAGCTGGCGTAGAGGTAGTGGTGGGCTGCTGATGGAACGTTTGTTGCTCTTCTTCTTGCTTCGTCTGGTAGGGATTATATTCGGGTAAAGACTCGTCGTCACCGTCCTGTGGTATAGCATCATCATACGGGGCAGGCAATCTATGGAAATTGTCCTGCTTCTCGTGGGGGTAGCTGTCCTGCGGTATTGCGTCGTCATACGGACGAGGAAACCGTTGGATGTTGCCTCGCTTCTCATCGGGGTAAAAGTCTGGTGGTATGACGTCGTCCCACGGAGATGATCGTTGCGGGTTGTCTGGCTTTTCATCGGGGTAGTAGTCCTGTGGCATTTCCTCGTCCATCTCCAAGATCATCTTCAATTCCTGATCGATGAGATCGGACCATCTGGTTTCGCGACACGCTTTAGGTTGACGGCCCTTTTTCTCCTGATGATGTTGGTATGTCTGGGACTTTGTTGAAGGCAGAGGGTCTTTCTCTCTTATGATTGTGTTGGAGTCTAAGAAGACCCGACGTTGAGGACCTGTGGTATCGGACCGCGGTTCTAGTTTTCTGCTATGTGATTGCTGATGATAGGGAGCCGTTCGGACATGTGTAGGGTTGTGTTGGATGGGGCGTTGTCTCGGTGGAGGGACCTCGCCACCACCATCGAAGCAACAACCCAGGAGCAGTTGGCCTATACCCATATTGCGTTTTCCCTTGCGATCAATGAGTATCTGAATTGTTGTAAATGAGAGACGTGCCGGACCTCAACGTCCCAGCACTCCACGAGTCTCCTAAAGTCTCTTGCTATCCGCTCACAACTTGCGTCGACCACTCCGTCGTTAGTTTGTAAATAGATCATTTCCTCTGCTTATTCTTAGGATAAAACAATGGCTATGCTCACTTGCATTGTAGCGCTTCGTGCTTGGTTCAAGGTCCTGGTGGTATGGTTGAATCATGTGAGACATAGCCGAGGGTCACCATGACCTTGTCGAGAGAAGGTGGATGTAATCATTGTAGTTATTATGCGGTAAGCGCACGATAACCTGCAAATGTCAATGACAATTGTGTAGGTTGAAAGATGAGATTGTGACAAGCAGCACACGCTCCGTCTGGGGCATCGCAAAGGCGTCTACGTTCTGGACCGGTGCGGGAGACCGGACGTCTTGTATGGTCATTTGAACGGCCTGTTGGTTGCAGCTATGACCCCGCAACCTTCTTTATTTGGAATGATAAGTTGGGCGTGATTGTTTTGGGTAGAAGTTTGCCGCCCTATCCTCAGTTGGTAAGTGTGTGCACAAAGAAACGACCCTGAGCAGGAGTGACTAAGGTACCAACAACCAACAAGTGTTATTGCGCAGAAAAAGGATTCCCTATCTTTTGGGAGTGTAGGAATGCGACACCTGAATGACAATGTGCGACCGAATGGCGATGAGCAACACGACTATCCGTCGTGCAGTAAACCTGAATACGAAAGAAAACAAGAAACGAAAAACAGAAGAGAAACTAAAGGGAAGGGAAATGCACAAGGAAAGATGCACAAGGAAAGACTCAAGGGGTTATGGAAGAAACACGCTCGTAAAGACCCCAACAAAATTCACGACCTACTCCCCATACTCCTTTTGCCATAATCGTCGCAAAATCCTTCCCTGTCCATCCCATCAGCCCCCCTTCTCACCCATCCTATTCCTTTCCTCTCCATAATCGTCATTTGCGTCCTCACCTTCATTCACCTCCACAATCCCCTCCATCCCGTCCAACCCCCTCAACAACATAGGCGAAATCTCAGCGTTCCAAGGCTCTGAGGATGTCGGCTAGTTGGCGCATTTGGAGACGGGCATCCGGGGATAATGCGGAGAAGTCTATGTATAATGGTGACCCCCTTGTGAGTTTTGCTGTTGTTGTTGTTGCGTGGTTGCTGTTGGAATGGAAATGGATGGTGTGGGTATCTCGCTAGGGGTATAGGAGATGGAGGATGGGCGATGGCTCTTGAGGCCATGTGTGCGGTCAAGGCTGGGTTGGATGCCGTGACCTCGTTGTTGGTAGAATTGCCGTTGGTGGTGGCATTGCCATAGACGGCGGCATTATCGTTGGCAGTGGTGTTGCCGTTGACGGTAGTTGTTGTAGTCGTCGTCGCGGATTGGAGCTCCCGGTCTGGCATCGTGGTTGTTGTCGTTCTTCTGATCTTCCATTTTGGGCTGGGTCGGTGGTGGATATTTGAGTTGCTTTGGTTGTATGGAAAGTTAGACGAGTCGTCACAGAAGACGAGCAAAGCCCTCTGGAAAGCCAGTGTCTGGGACTTACTTACACTTGATATCGAGAGCAAGGAACCTAATGTTTGTGAATGAACTGTGTCTACCCAAAAAGATGGAGGGGCAGTGTAAAAGAAGTGGAAGGAAAAATGAGTAGATGAGCTGGAGCCGGGCGATGATGGGTTGAATGAAGTAGGCTAGAAATTTGTGATGATCATCCAAATCCATTGCAAACGTCCCTTCCATTTGTCTGAAACTTTTCCCGCAAACCACTGCATTCTGACATCTGATCTTCAAGCCCGCTTCTCAACGCTCTTTGCCCGCGTCCCTCTATTTGCCGCCGGTTGCCGAACGATTGAGGAATAAAGCCCTCGTTGTCCACTCAGCAGAACAACGTCAACATATCCCTTTCCATCAAGCACTATTCCCAAAGAACTTTGTGATCTTCTGCATCCCCGGCGGCGGTGCATTTTTGTGCTTGATTGGGCTCCCCTTCCCTTTGTTTTTTGTGGCACTAATTGGCTTTCCTTTCGTTTTTGTCGGCGTTGGCGGTGGCGGCTTGTTCTGACTCTGACTCCCCTTGAGTGGTGACGATTTCGTTCCGGTCCCCGTCGACTTCTTAGCAGGCGGTTGCTCATCATCACCCGGCTCCGAAGACGCCTCCCTCTTGATGCCTCGCACTTCTTTCTCCTCTTCTTGACCCGCTTCTTCCATCAACTCATCCACGGACTCAGTCTTGATCTTGCCAGTGTCGAGCTTGACTTCCACCTCTGCGTCTGCTTCTGCCTCATCTTTCTCTTTCTTCCCCTTCTCCTTTTTCAGCCCCTTCTCTTTCTTCTCCTCGTTCTTCACCTCTTCCTTGCTCCCCTTCCCCTTCCCACCACCACCACCACCAAACCAACTCCCAATATCTCTCTCCTCCCTCCTCACCTCCTTCGGCACAATCAAATCCTCCCCATCATTCCCCACCTTCCCCACCCTCTTATCAACCGGATAAACCTCCAATTCCCCTTCAAACGGCTTCAACACCCCCTGCAACTTCTCCCCCCATGTATTCCTTTCCGGATCCAACCATTTCCTCAGGGCATCCGACCTGGGCTCCAAAATAACCGGCATCCTATCATGCAAAAACCTCAACTGCTCATTAGAGCTTGTCGTAATAATCGTATATGACCACACCTCCCCTTCCTCCCCAGTTTCGGGATCAGTAAAATGGGCGCAATCATATAACCCAGCGAATAACATCAACTTCCCATCTTTCCTTTTCACAAAATGCGGAATCTTTTCAACCCCTCCCTTGCTGAATGTACCGGGAGTGTTGAGCCATTCGAAAAAGCCTTGCGCCGGGATGATGCAGCGGTGCCGGTGTTTGATGCTGGACCAGATTCCGCTTGATGATAAAAGGGAGTCGTCGCGGCAGTTGATGGTTTTGAGGGTTGTTGTATAATTTGTTGATGCTGGTTTCTGGAACTTCGACTTGGACTTGGATTTGAAGGTCCAGGAGGGGATGAGACCCCATTTCATTGGCTGGAGGATAAATTGGCAGTCTCCGACCTTCGACTTTCCGTCTTGCTCTTGTTGTTGCTGTTGTTGGGATTGATCTGTCGTAGGCTGGGTTTGTTCCTCTTCGTGCTCCTGCTCCACCGGCTCTTCATGCTCATTTTCCGCTTCCGGGGCCTCGCTATGGTCGTGCTCTTCCTCATGTTCAACTTCCATTTCGGGTTCCGCTTCGGTTCCTTCTTCCGAGTCCTGAGCACTAGAACTAGCATCGTGCGCCGCTCTCCTCCGTCCTCCAGCTCCACGGCTACCACCGCCCACCCTGGCCCTGTAGACCACGCCGCGATACCCCGGCGCAAAGTTGTAGCTCTGTCTGGGAGAGTCGTCGCCTTCATTGTCCGGCGCGTCGTCGACTGGCATGTTATCCGCTTGCAACATGCGGCGCACCTCTGAAGGGCGCAGATTGATAGCGTACCTGCCGCACATTGTGTGAAAAGCCGAAGTGTCAATGAACCAGCAATTGTGCAGGTGAGGAGTTGTGGATGATGATGATGATGGAAGAAGGTAAAGAAATAAAGTGACGTTGGGAAAAAGAAAGGTGATGAAAGGAAGCAATGACGTAACGTTCCTTTGACACGGCACGATGCGCGTTTGCTCAACTGCAACTGCAAAGTCCGAACGCGAGATCATGTGACCACGACGAACAACCTCACTTCATCAACATACTTGAACGAAAACTACTGTTGTTTCTACATCTTGAATGAGCTAAACGAATATAACCGCCAATGTATTTCTCCAAAACACCACCCTCCCTTTCCACGCGCGGCTTTGACTCTCTATAATTAAATACACTCACACACGCTCAAAACCTCAGGGTATCGTTTTTTCCATCCTTCCCCGCATGATCTCGCTTTCCGTCCGTCCTCATGAAGAGACATCAAGACAGTTTAATGAAGCCAGTTTTTTTATCCTGACGGCTCCCAAGATCCCAGCCCCATACATGATATCCCCTGAGATGGTTTTGCAAATTTTTCCGTTCGACACCGTACCATGCAAAAAAATGAAAGCAGAAAAGACATGAGTTACGCTCACCACTTGGACTTAGGCGACAGCCACCATGGGCGCTGCCGGCATCATGCCATCAATCTTTTCCCCCATACGCCCCGCCGCAACCTTCCTCATCTCCATCTTGGCCTTCCTCTTCTCGGCCTCATCCTTCTTCCACACCTCCTCGAACATGGACTTCTTGGGTCTGACCTGATGATCCCTGATACCCAACCTGCGAACAACTTGGAACGCGCCCGTACCGATCTTCATGGTCTGGCCCATGATGATACACTCCGACACACCGAGGATGCGATCCGTCTTCATGCCGGCCGCCGCATCGAACAAGTGATCGGGCGTGCGCTCGAACGAGGCCAGCTGCAGCACACTGTCGCGCATCTTGGCGAGACCGTGGCGTGTGATACCGAGAATCTCGCCCTTGTAGGTCATGACGTCGGCCAGCAAGTCCATGTGACGGGGATCGATGCCCATGTCGCCCATGACGGAGCCGATTTCCTTGGCGATGGTGGTACGCGCGGCTTCGATGCCTAGTACGTCGCGGCACTCCATGATGGAGTTAGAAATGCACTTGGTTCCGATGACGCCCTCGGTGGTCATGCAGGCGCGCAGGCCGTAGCCTTCAACCAGGACCTTGTGCTCATTTGACTCGCTGGATTGGATGATGGCACGGAAGGCCTCGGGGTAGCCGGAGATGGGCACGGCGGGGAGCATGCGCTTGAGGAAGTTGACGCGCAGCTGGAAGTCGGCGGCGGTCTCGTCCGACGTAGTGAGGAGCAACTGGCCCTTCTCGATGGCGGCGGCACGAACTCTCGCTGCCTTCTTTTGGCGGTCAGATCCTTCCAGTCGTTGTTGACAATGACCTCAATGGTGTTGTCAGGGCCGATCTTCAGGTCGTCCATCTCCACCTTGAGTTTGAGCTTCTTGGCCTTGACGATGGCGACCATGATCTCACGAAGACCGATGCCGAGCTGCATGTCTGAAAGAGCCTGCATGTCGATCTTGAGAACGATCTTGGCGACATCGGGAAGCCAGACATCCTCAACGTATTGGATAACATCGGAAATAAAAGTCTTCTCGATCTTACCCTTGACGATGCGCGCGGCCTTGATGTCTACGTTGTTCTCGAGCTCGCAGCTGATGACGGGCGTGCTGATGAGCTTCGAGGCGCCAATAATTTCCTTGATACGGGGAACACCCTGAGTGATACTCATACCGGCGACACCGGCGAAATGGAAAGTCTTTAGTGTCATCTGGGTACCGGGTTCACCAATAGACTGGGCGCCGACGGCGCCGACGGCGTGACCGGGCTCGACCTTTGCCTTGTCGAACTTGGAAAGACAGAGGTTCATGAACTTTCTCAGGGTGGCCTCCGAAACCTTGGCGACACGATCCACATGGGCTTGCTGGATCTCCTCCTCTTCCGGATCTAGCATCTTGATATCGCCGCCATTCTGCTTCTTCTCCCATGCAGCGAATTCCTTCAGCAGGTCAGCGTTGTTTTGGTCCAGGCAGGGATCCAAGCCGGCGAGCCTGCGTGCTTTCGCCAGCTTGAGCGCACGCTTGTCCATCTCAGCCTGGATGGTATTGAGATAGACTCTGGCACCCTCGTGCTCATCGATCGCAATGAAAACATCGTGGTCGTTGCTTTCCGCAATCGTCTTGTCCGCGTAGTGCAGCAACTCGCCCGTGACAAGGTGCTTGCGCACGTACGATTTTCGTCTCTCGTCCAGAATCTCCCTGCACATGGCCGAGATCTCTGCCGGAAGCAGCGACCTCTCATTGTGGTTCATAGTCAAGCTTTCGGCATGATTCCATGACCTCTCGAAATCAACAGGCTTGGCGTTACCCTCCATGTCTGCGGGATCCAGCCTGTCGGCACCGTACTGGAACTGCACAATGTTTCCTTCTGACGTCCGCACGGTATCATCGTACTGGGTCGAGAGATCCTCCAATGACTTCATGAGACGACGAGACATGTAACCCGTTTCGGCCGTCTTGACGGCAGTATCGACCAGACCTTCTCTACCAGAGATGGCGTGGAAAAGGAACTCGGTGGGAACCAGACCGGTGTAGAAACTGTTGCGCACGAAACCCTTACTGGGGGGCTGACGAGCGTTCTTGTGGAAGTGGAAGAGCGTACGATCTTGGAAACCATCCGCGACACGCTTGCCACCAATAATCTGCTGTCCGACAAGGGCAACCATCTGGGCGACATTGATATCGGAACCTTTGGAACCGGACTTGGCCATGATCAAGGGAGAATTGTTGCGACTCAAATGACCGACACAGTAGTCACCGGCCTGCGAACGGACTTTACTGAGAATGCCGGAGATCTTGTTCTCGAGCGTCTCCTCCATGTTACAACCGGGAGCCTTTTCAAGCCTTCCGCTCTTGAACTGGGCGATAAGGTCGTCGCAGAGTGCATACGCATCCGCAACCAGCTTGGCCTTGTGCTCCGTCAAGTCCTTGGACGGATAGACATCGCCAACACCGATCGAGAAACCGCGGAGGGTCAGTGTGCGAGCACACAACTTGGCCAGGCGGTTCATGGCCTGCGCAGCGTGTTCCGGACCCCAATCACGGAGGATGACGTAGAACACCGAGTTCTTCTTGCCACCACCAACAGTCGACTTGTCCATTCTTCCCGCACATGACCTCGGAGTTACGAACAACCAAGTAGCAGTCGTCAATGTCCATATCTGGGAGCTCACCAGGCTTCGCCTTGTAAACCTTGTTCTTGGCCTCCAGGTTGACAAGGACCGGTGATTGCTTGTTAGGGCGCATCAGAACGTTGAAGATTTGCTTACCCGTCCACATCTCGACGGGCTTGATGATGGTGGGCGGCGGAAGGTCGAGATGGGTTTCGCCCAGCAACATTTGCGTGCAGATGTAGGTAAAGGTCTTGCGGTCGAGGAACAAATCTTTGCTACTGAGCAAGTACGCTGCGGTAATGAAATCCTGGTAGCGGCGATAATGGGCTCGCCGTTCTTCGGGGTGATCAGGTTGTTTTGTACACCCATGAGGTTGATGGCTTCGGCGCGAGCCTCTTCTGTTTGCGGAAGATGAAGGTTCATTTCGTCTCCATCGAAATCGGCGTTGTAGGGCGTGCACACACATTCGTTGAGACGGAACGTCCTCCAGGGTCTAACCTTTGCACGATGGCTCATGATAGACAACTTGTGTAGCGAGGGCTGACGGTTGAATAGCACAATGTCGCCATCTTCCAAATGTCTCTCAACAACGTCGCCAAACTTGAGTTCCCGCGCACGTTCCTCCCGGATAGACTCGTCACCGAAGTTTAGGTTGAACTTCATGCCGCCGTCCCGCTTGATGACACCCTGAGCACCAGGCCAGACTTTGGGTCCATTCATGACGCATTTTCGCAACTTTTCGATGTTGTTGCGGTTTACCCGCTCGGGATATGTCAGGTTCTTGGCCACGCGCTCAGGAACAGCGACCTGATCAATTCCCAAGTTGGGATCGGGTGAAATGACTGTGCGGCCGGAGAAGTCGACACGCTTACCCGACAGGTTACCACGGAAACGACCCTGCTTGCCCTTTAGACGCTGGCAGAAGCCACGAATGGGCTTACCAAATCCTGGCTGGTACAGGCCGGGAACGTCACTGTTGACGTACATACCCACCTGAAGCTGGATGAACTCCCACTGTTCCATGATGGTGTTGAGGGCGGCGCCCTTGAGGAGCGATTCTCGCAGATGGCCGGCGTAAAGAATGATTTCGGACAGCTTACTCGTGATGTCATCTTCGTTACTAGCGGCTTCTTGCTGGACCGACGGGCGAATGCAGATGGGAGGAGCGGGAAGATATTGCCACAAGAACATCTCGGGTCTGCCCTCGGAAGGGTTCAATCCGAGCAACTCGCAGTCCTCGGCCGTGATCTTCTTGAACAGTTTCAAGACCTTGAGAGGGTCCATGTCGTCCATAGCTTTCTTGGAGTGCTTCTCAAGATCCGGAGTGAATGTCTTTGCCTGAATGAAGGAGGAATCGAAGGCGGCCTTGGCTACGGGCGGGACCTTTTTCTGGGCGGTCGACTTGTTGAAGTGGGAGAACTTGTCGTGGGTGAGCTTCATTACGCTCAACTTGCGGATAACACCCTGAGTGTCGCCGCAGTAGGGGCACGTCTTTTGCTTGCGGCATTCATCGTTGATCTTCTTAAGGATGGCTGATCGCTTGAGGTTGTCGATGCCAGGGGCACGGAGAGCCTTGAGGAACTTGGCCTTGGGTTCCTCTTCAAGCAGAACCTTGGAGCAGGTCTTGCAGATGTTCTGGAGTGTGGCCTGGATGTACTTGAGATAACCAATGTGGAAGACGGGAAGCGGTAGGCGGACGTGACCGAAGTGACCAGCGCAGGACTGGAGAGGGAGGTTGCAGGTCTCGCAGGTGCCGGTCTTACTCGAGGTACCGAGGCGAGGATCGAGGGGGCCGTGGGGGAAAGTGCGGCGGCCGTTTTCGACGTCGTAGAGAAGGTTATCGGAGACTTCGAGAACACCCTGATTTACTATATCCTGGTGTGACTGGACTCCGAACTGCAAGGCCCTAAAGCGCTTGGGGAGCTGGTCGGCCAGCTGCTCCTTGATAGGAGCTCTCCGCTCGGCACCCATAATGGGATGTTTGTGTTTCAGTTGTCGAGACTATCGATGGAATGGAGAAGGGGATGTGTAGAAGATAGAGTAGGTGGCTATTTGAAGAGAGCAGTCGGATGCCCTGTTCTAGTGATGATACGACGTTGCTACCGGCTCATTGCGGACTCTCTGTCTGTGGTTGTTGGAAGAAGACGATGCCGAGTCGAGGTTGTCGGGTGCTTGTAAGTCCTGGCACAATGGTTCAGTGGCTTGTAAGAACCTAAAGCGAGGAAGGGGAAGCCAGGCTGTCGATCGAGAGTGTGGTGGGCGACGAGAGGTGGCGTTGGATTCGGAGTAGAAGTCGCTTATCGGCCGAGGCTTATATATAAAATTTGTGGACGAGACCAATGCCAAATGTTGTCGAGGCGGTATTTTGGACAAGGCCGTGGAAATGCCGTATAAGGTATCGCTATGTGTTGAATGTCCCAGACAATGGGAGTCGGAAGTGGAATAAGGTGGCACCAGACAAGTAGCCGTTGATGTGGAAGTGGTTTTGGGACAAATTCGCGAACCCGTCTTGAAAATTATTTTGTCGCTGCGCGCTGCGGTCCCAGTGGTGCACCCATGGTGAAAACGGCGCCTGGGGGGTGGGCGGGGCCCGGGCGGCAGTGGAAGACCAAACCCCCCACCGTCGCCGCATGACTCCGCGTCTCGGAATTGGTCCATCTGTCGCGATTTGGAGACAGACTCGAGGCCTGTGCCCCACCATGCGGTGCATCCATCTGATCGACCGGCCCCTTCCAGGCTGCTGATACCCCACCGTCCGTTATCTCGTAGGGGTACTTGTCGCGGCTAAAGGGTACCTATAGCTAGGATTGAAAGCAGTGATAATGAAAGTACATCTCTTTCCAGAGCGGTACCGGCAACTGATAGGCGAGAGCGGGACAAGGACCAGCTTCTGCCAATCACCGCTTGATTCTGATCGCCTGGAATCGTCATTGCCGTGTTGTCCAAGTCAGCCGAAGAGCTCCATTGGCCCTTCCTGTCATTCCATGGAAGATGAGAAAAGTCACAAGCCAGCGACCAGCTGTTGCTTAGTTTCCTCCTGACTTTTATTTCTTCTTTACCGTACATACCATCCCATACAACACTCTGTCGCATACAACATCTTAAAGTATATATCACTGCTTCACTACACTTTGTTCACCTATCCTCGCTTCTGTCTTTGGTTCTTCCAGCGCTCTTGGTTCAGTCTCCTCCTTCCCGTCCTTCTCTCGCTTGCATGTGCCTGCATATTTTCCGAGGAAGCTTCAGTTGTCACATCACTCTGCACCCATGAGACTCCTTCATACAACATCTACAACCTAGAAACCAAACACCAAAACAGACGGACATTTTGGGATCGGCCACCCAACCCAGAGACCGTTACTCGGAATTAGAGACAGATTCGACCTTGGGTTTCATCGCAGATTACCCTTTGACCAACCAACATTAGCCAAGACCGAGTCCCGTATCCTCTCCCTTGGAGTGCCCCAAGAGAAGCCGTCAACCTGTCAACCTAAAACTCAGCAACGTTGGCGCTTGTTGCCGCGATAAGGTTGCGTCTGCGCGGGACTGGCCTGGGTCCTCGTACCCGTCAGGCTCTCTACCCTCTGCCAGCAATCTCCAGACCAACTACCTCTACCTTGACGTCTAGAGGGGGCCCCAGAGCCTCGTTCTCTTCTTCGCCTTCTTCCTCCTCCTGGTGGCTCTCTGGCCATAGCAAAAACCCAATGGCGCCAACTACCGGTACTGCCACCGGCGCAGCCGACAAGAAGCCCGAGAAATCCTACCTCGCATCTGCCGTCGACTCCATCAATCCTTGGGCCGCTAACCGAAGCACCACTCCAACTCCCAAGGAGCCGCCTCCACCCAAGCCAGTGTTTCCCGTGAACCCAAATCCCGGCGATCATAGTACGAATCCCTTTTACGGCCAAAGCTTCAAGCGGTATCCTCCCGACTGCCCTCCGCTCGGTGTCCAATGGTTCCATGCCGTCGATGTAGGTATACTATCTGATCAGCTGTCCAAGTCAGGGAAGGCCCTAACCCAAAGTTCTTCTCGTCTAGGTCCCGAAGCGCAAGCCCAAGTTTCTCCAGTCCAAGACCGACGAGGACCAAAAGACCAAGCCGCAACCAAAGAAATATGCGCCCTTCTCTTCCGGAGACTCCCGAGCACTCGAAGTCGCCTACCAAGCAAGACTCGAGGAGTTGGAGCAGCAGAGGTCCAACCCGAAACGCTCAACCAGTGTTCGTCTAGGCTCCAAGCGGCCTCGTGTCGTCTCAGGTGACGAAGCAAACAACACAAACCTCGACTCAACGGAGGATGAGGCCAAGGATCATACCCGAGTCCCCGTCAACGAAGACTTCTTGTTCGATGTCGATCTTGACGATCGTGAGTTAGCCCCTGTCTACTGGGAAGGGCCGGTATACGAGGTGCGTCGAGGAACCTGGTTCTACCAAGAAGGCTCAACTGTTCGCCCATGTGAGGAGAATCTCGCAGCCCAACTTGAAGAGGGATACCTAAAAATCAGGCCGTGGATGTACCCAACACGGACGCACAGCGACTCGGGCACCAAAACCGTCACACCAAAGACTTCAGTGAGCAATCTCAAGGCTGCTGCTGCCGCTCAAAAAGAGACCGCAGCCAAAACAGAGACCACGGTTGTCCAGCACCAGCCCCAGACATACCGACTATTTGGGGCCTACATGAACAACATCGCAACATACCACGACGAAAGCACTGCATGGCTCTCATCTGAGGGTGTGCTCTCTTGGGTGACATCGACCGTGTACGAGAGGTTCGCCGGAGGTGGCTTACATGAGCGGCGTGAAGCTCGTTCGCGGATATAATACCGAAACTAAGAAGCCCAAGGATGACAAACGACCCTCGACTCCCACGGGAACCAAGAGTTCTTCCGCAGAACAGGACGAGAAGCTACAAAAGGCCCTCAAGAGACGCTCTGCTCCGGCAGGTGCGCAGTCACTTTCTGAGGAAGCCGTGGTAGTTAAGCAAGAGCCTGAAGAGGAGGCGTCCGACGAGATTGAAAGTACAAGAGCTAGGCTCACTCGACAAATATCGAACCTGATAGAGGGGGTCAAAGATCCAGAAGCAGAGGCGGAGGCGATTCGGAAAAGAGAAGAAAAGGAGATCAGGGACGACTACAATGCGCGACTAGGAGAGACTCAAGGCCGCGAAATTGAGCATCTGGTTCTTGTCACGCACGGTATCGGACAGCTCTTGGGAAAGAAGATTGAGAGTGTCAACTTTGTGCATGACGTGAACATGCTCCGCAAAACACTAAAAGAAACGTACTCTTCCTCGGCGGACCTTAGGGCACTCAACGGCGAGATTGAGGTGGAAGGCCCTGGCAACTCGCGTGTCCAGGTTTTACCTGTTGTCTGGCGGCATCTTCTCGACTTCCCAAAGCGCAAGCCGAGAAGAAACGAGCATGACTTGGGCGACGCTCCATACGAAGAAGATGAATGTAAGTGGTGCACTTGTTTCAGTCACAAATTTGAAGAAAAAGACAACGCTAATCGTAACAAAAGACCCATCCCTAGAAGACATCACGATTGAAGGTGTGGCGTTTGCCAGGTCGCTCATTTCCGACTTGGCTCTCGACGTCCTGCTTTACCAAAGCGCGTACCGAGAAACGATTGTTGAAATCGTTCTTCGAGAAGCTAACCGGATATACAAGCTGTTCAGGGACCGCAATCCCAACTTTAAGGGCAAGGTTCACGTCATCGGTCACTCCCTAGGATCTGCCATCATGTTCGATATTCTTTGCCGGCAACGCGAAAAGCGGCCAGAAACTGGGACCTTTAAGAACCCGCTCAAGTTTTGGCCAGCCCATGCCCAGGACCACTACGAACCCAAAGAACCAAAGGAGCTTGCGTTCGAATTTGACGTGGAAGATTTCTACGCTCTCGGCTCTCCCATTGGCCTTTTCCAGATGCTCAAGGGACGAACGGTTGCGGCTCGTCACTTGCCCAACGCCTACCCCTCGGAGAGCCCCCTGAATCCGGAATACATGGACGACCCGTTCTTCCTCGCGGCTACAGCACAGCATCATCATCACCACCACCACAACAGTGATCAGAGTCTCTCTCCAATTACCAACCTTCCGTACAGCATCTCCTCTCCCAAGGTTGCTCAGCTATTCAACATTTTCCATCCTTCAGATCCTATCTCGTATCGTCTGGAACCTTTGATTTCCCCCGCCATGTCTACTCTCAAGCCCCAGGCTCTACCGTACACCAAGAAGAGCATCTTTGGTTCCGTTGCTCCTCAGGGCCTCACGGGTATTGGTGCCAAGGTCGGCCAAAGCGTCAGCGGACTATGGAGCAGTCTCAGTGCCGGTATTGCCAGCAGTTTGCTCAACCGTAGTCTCGGTCTGAGCCAGGAAGACGTGGCGAATTTCAACGCATCACACGCTCAGAATCAGAACCCCAGTCCTGGTGCCGGTACAAACATCGGAGCCGGTGTCATATCTCCAGAATCACCCAAGATATCTGACGTACAACGGAGCGAGAAGACGGCGGAGAGGATGCGCCAACTGGCCAACGCCGGTCACGACGGAACGCTGATCGACGACGAGCTCGAAACTCTCTTTAGCAAGTTTGAGAGGAAGAGGTTGGATATGGTTCACGCTGCCAAGGATGGGGGTAGCACTGCTGCCGCCAAAGAGGAGTGGGTCAAGGAGGAGGCCAAGGCCCAGAAGTTGAAGAGGGAGGAGATGAAGGTGCGTGCTCTAAACAGGAATGGCAGAGTGGATTATAGCATTCAAGAGTAAGTCATCATGCCCAAGTATCGTGCTGTGAAACGACATGATAGCTAACCATTTGGGACTGTACAGGAGCGTTCTGGACTTTAACCCTATCAACACCATTGCGTCGCACATGAGCTACTGGGCGGACGAGGATGTGTGTCATTTTATTCTGTCCCAGATGCTGGTATCGAACAGGACGAAGACGACGAGGGTGTAAGATTTTGTAGATTTTTAGTGCATTTTCGGGGTGGTAAGCTTCTTTGCATAAATAGATAGTTGTTTTTAGGTATGTCTCACGGTCAACAGTTGTTGGGAGATAGACCCATCGAGCCCTTTTGGATCTTGGGATTAGATAGGTAGCATATCAATGCCATCCGCTTTTACAGGATTGTCCTTTCCCTGGTGATAACAAGTACGCGTATTCTTTCTTGGTCAAATTCGATAAGAGGTGAACAGTTCAGTAGAGATCATTATTCGACGCAGCAAGCACCCAGCTTCCGACCACTGACTCCTTTTTCATATCCCAGAAGTTTACCTGAACCGCGTAAGGGTGGAAGGAGCTCTTGCCCAACATGCTCGCATCTTCACCACCCCTCCCTCGTCCGTTCCCAGGAATTCACGGTCCCGTGGTTCTGCTCCACCCGGATATCCAATTCAATGCCATGCACCCTTGAATCCGTGAAGTCTTGGGCCACGGCCAGAACTTGGGTTCCAAGGAAAAAGAGAATCAAGGTCCCAAGTGGCACAAAAAGAACAAGCCACGGAGTCCCAGCGCTATGAGGGAGGTGGTGGTTGATAACTGAAAGAAGGTGATCCGATAAGCAACCAGCCCTCGCTTCTTCTTCTTTTCCTCCACGCCACTTGCAGGTTGAACTAGATAACGTGCAAACTTCCCCCTGTCAACTTCCTTTCAAAAGCTCATCCTTCAGCCCCTGTCACCATCAACGAACAGCACTCCCAGGCCCCGACTACCATCGACGAACAGCACTCCGAGTCTCGCCCACCATCGGCCATGCAGATCAGGAATCTCCTTCGGCCACCTAGTCGATGGACAAGGAAAGAATTCCCAACACAATGTTCCACATCTCCGAAGCTGTCAATTCCGCTAGAGCGGGAGCTGACGAATCTGGAGTTGTCGAGCTGTCCAGCCACAGTCATCGGTTTAACTTTCTGGGACCGCGTCTTCGTTGCAGAGCGAGAAGACTTCAGATCGTGGTTTCTCCTGCAGCAGTCAGCAAATATGCCCCGATAAGAATCTTGGCCACAGCGTCGATGACATCGTCTCCCGCGTTATTGGTGATGTAGCAACAAGCCCGGGGAACGAAAGCAAAACTTGCTCCTGGATATGAACATTTCGACGATGATGAAGCAAGTATTACCAGTTCTCTTTCCTAAGGCATCAGAGCGAAGGAAAAAATAATGGAAGGATTCAGAGTCAGACACTCTTCGTGTTCTAAAAGGGCGGAAACGAAGACCGAGATTGGTCAGCATCTTTCTAAACAATTTGATTGACGCTGATGACCTAATGATGAATGAGCCATGCCGAGCCAACAAGGCGAAGGAAGTGGAAATGGGGAAGGCAGAGTCGGTTGGTTGGACGGGGAAAGAATCCTGGACTAGATGTTGCGATCGCGGGCTTTGTGACATTTTTGATGAATTGAAAGCATGCTGGTGGTGAAGGAATCACTAATGTTTGAGCGGGCCGTTGATATACCGAGGGTCACCCATCTTGAGCAATTTCGAACTGGACAATGAATATCGGGCTTGTTTCCGCCCTTAGTAGTCTTTCAAGTTTTAGTTTTGGGCCTCATGTGTTTGAACAGCGAAGCTCAGTTCTTTTGCGCGGAGATAGTTGAATTTTGAGTTAATGTTGGACACCCGCCTTGAGCGAGCCAGCGTAACGCTCGTCATATGTCGGGGCGGTCAATACGGTGGGCGGGCTGGTTATTTTGTGACATAGCGGGAAATGGTTGTCAATCGTTGGATTCAAGCCCATACGTGCGAATTGTTCAAAATGATGGCGTTCCGTGATGAATTGGTGAAGTTGCTGGTGATTCAGTAGAGATGTTTGCTTTGGTGATGCGGGGACAAGAGCTGACGTTGAAAAGCGCATGCAGCAATGCATGTTATGTGGCTAGGCAGACTTGTCTGGGTCGCTTATTGTGATTGATTATCGTCCAAAGCGAACAGAAGCGATCTGGAAAAACTTCACAAATTGCATGCAAGTCTCGAAATACTCTACCCACTATCAACCACTCATGTCCTCATTTTGAACTTGGCGACCCATTTTTGACCTTCTTCTTTTGTTGCTGCCTCCAAGAAGGCTTTTCTTTTTTCTACACCCAAAGATAATCATCGCCCGCCGTAACATCAAATTTCTCCACCATTCTCTTTCGACGCACTCATCCACAACGCACATCGTCAATCACCAAAATGCCCAACATGTTACCCCGACGATTACCACCTGGCCTTCTTCGCCTCCGTTCAACCTCAACATCACTAACATCCACCATCCTCTCACCCACAATCAACACCACCACCATCACCACCAGGGCCTCACAATTCCTCACTACTAACCCCACAACCCTCCAAACCCGCCCCTCCTCCTCCTCAACCTCCCGCTGGAAAACCCGCCAATTCTCCGACCGCTACGCCCGCGAAGCGCGCACCGCCGGCCTTAAATCCCGCGCTGCCTTCAAGCTTCTGGAAATCAACAAGAAATACCGTCTCTTCCGGCCGTCCTCGGGGCAAATCGTCGTTGACCTGGGATTCGCACCGGGTTCCTGGTCGCAAGTTGCTTTGGACCTGACCAAGCCCGATGGAAAAGTGGTCGGCATCGACATCATTCCTGCGCAGCCGCCGAGGGGCGTTTCTGCCATCCAGGGAAATTTTTTGAGCGAGGGGGTGAGGGGCTTGGTGAAGGGATGGTTGAGGGAGGAAGAGGGACGGAAGGTGGGGGAGCAATTGAGGGAGATGGCGAGACGGGAACAGCAGAGATTGGAGGAAAAGGAACGGTTGGAGAGGGAGAGGTTGGAGGCGGAGGAAAGGGAGGCTAGGGAGCGGGAGGCGGAGGAGAGGAGGGTGAGGGAGGAAGAGGAGGAGAGGAGGGAGTGGGGTTTGGATCAGACTGAGACTGAGACTGAGGAGGTTGTGAATCAAGGGGAAGGGAAGCTGAACCAAAAGAATGACTATGACGAAGAGATGGTGGAGGAGATGGACAGAATGGAGATCACAGACAGGTGGCAAGAGGAGCTGCTGTACCGACAACGACACGAGGAGCCAAATACTTGGGAAGTGGAGGCGTTGCGGCGGCAACGGGAACGACAGGAACGAAGGGATGCGGAAAAGCAGGTGGTGGTTGATGACCGACCGAGCTACATCGAGCTGGAACGGATGGCTGTCTTAGAGGCACAGGTTATGCAGCAGCACCAGTCTGAGGAGGTTATGGAACAGAAACAGGAACGGGAACAGGGCCAAGAAGACTCTGGGAATAAAGCGGCGACGACAACGGACACTGACGCTGACGCGGAAAGAAAGTCCGATAGCGAAGAGGGTTTTGGGGAACTCGAAGAACATGAAGAACAACAACCACAACGACCAAAGAAGAAGAAGCAGAACGAGCAAATGCGGTTGGTTGATGTGCGTTTTTTCTCATCACCCCCTCACATTCATCATAACTACCAGCCCCATCTTTACCAGACCACTGCTGACACTACTAACTTACGTCCTCGCTCGAAAAAAAACAGGTAGTACTAAGCGACATGTCAGAACCCTGGCCCCAAACCTCCAGTTTCTCCATCAAGACTTTGAGTAACCCGTATAACAGGATGATGAACACGAGCGGGATTTCCTTCAAGGACCACGCCGGCAGTATGGTATGTCTTTTCCTGTCATTCCCGTCCTATTAATTCCCCCCATAGCCATAAACTAATATGTTGATTCCCCTTTTCCCCCATTCCCCCAAAAACAGGACCTCTGCTACGCCGCACTCTCATTCGCAAACGACACGCTCAAACCCGGTGGTCACTTCGTCTGCAAGTTCTACCAAGGGTCTGAGGACAAGAAGCTGGAGGATATGCTTAGGAAGCTTTTCGGCAAGGTGTTTAGGGATAAGCCTGATAGTTCTAGGAGTGTAAGTCTTTTTTTTTCCTGCTTCCCCCACAACCCCTGATCGACGGTCCATGCTGTCGCGATGGTTTCGCTGACGAGAGCCTTCGGTGACATGTAGGAGTCAAAGGAGGCCTATTTCGTTGCGCTGAATAGGAGGAGGGATGTCATCCTAGAAGATATTCCTATTTAATGCCGTGGGATGATGACGGGCTACTGGCTGGGTTCATAAAAGCATTTGTAAGAGTAAAACGGCGTTATTGGGGCAGGTTACCATAGAGGATAAACCTTTTCGTTTGTCGGCTTAGAACATTGTACACCAAATACCCATAGACAAGAGCTTTGCTGTATCGAAAAGAACGAGATTATGGCAGATACATCAGCTACCCAAACACATCATCATCCACATTGTCACGCAATCACAAATATCAAATAGTTCTGGTAAAGACGTGGTGGTCATCAATTTCCTTGTCATAAATGGAAGAAAGTTGCCCTATGATGATTGCACGCCAGCCGCAGCTCGGAGTATTGCCCCATGCCAACCCAAATACGCGCAGCAAAAACAGCCAAGCATAGCCATTCTTGCCAGCAGTACAAGAGAAAGCAGCAAAAAATTCCCCACGCCTTGTACCAGAGGATGTCGCCAGGGGTATCTTTGCTCCGTTTAGACCTTGAAACCCTTGGATCTTCTGCGACCACGAGCACGCTCGAACTTGCGGCCCTTGGAAGCGACATAGGGCTTCTGTAATGGGTGTCAGTAATCTGCTCTTGTTTCTTGGGGATCCAACAATGCCGTGACGCACCTTGTTCTTGTGGGGACCGAAGCCGAAGTGCTTGAAGGCCTCGCGAGCGTTCTTGGGGCCACGGAGAAGGAGGGTGTTGGCACCAGTGGGCTTCTCAAGGGCGAGCTGGTCGAGGGTGATGGCCTGGCCACCGGCAGCCTCGATGCGAGCACGGGCAGTGGCGGTGAAGCGGAGGGCAGCAACCGAGACCTTGGGGACGGTCAAAAGACGGTTGTCATCGGTGACGGTACCGACAACAACGACGGTCTTCTTCTCGTTGCCGTTCTTGAGGTTGGCGGCAATGCGAGAGAGAGAGATGGGGGGACGGTTGATGCGGGACATGAACAACCGGCGGAGCACGACCTTGTTGAAGGCAGAGTCAGTGCGGCCTAGAAGGTCGGGTTAGTATCATGCCGACTCTCCACAAGGGCGTAGGGAGGGGCATCAAAAACTTACGGGCAAGGAAGCGGTAAAGCTTGACCAGGAGCTTCAAGTAAACATTGTCGCTCTTGGGGGCCTTGCGGTGAGTGGACCGCTCGTGGTGCTTGCGAAGATCGATACCTATTCGTCGCAAACAGACTCCCAGTCAGCCTTCAATGGTTCAGGTATGCTCAGGCTGGCGTGCCATTGCTCGACCTAAGTGCGCGGAGTACGTCCATTGTAGTTGGTTTTTTTTCTGCGCCCCAAAAGCCTATCCGCATCAGATCGTCGCGTCCTCTTCATTTTCAGAGAGAGGGGGCGCGCGATCCGATTGATTGCGGTATGACTATCTATCGAGGGCAACCAACATTGGGACCATCTCCAGCGACACCGGGAACGCAGGTGAAAATTGCCATGGTCGCAGATCGAAGAAGTTTCTCGGTTTTTCACAACCTCAAAAATCTCGTCCACTCGCACACAAAGGCTTCAAAGGAGGCCATTTCGGTGGCAGTTGTGATGGTGTTTTTGCTGATTTTACGTACCCATCTTGGCGGCTGACTCTCGATTGTCGACTGAAATCGGGGGTTGTCAAACTCTGAAATCCAGAGGTGCCGCAAAATTGAAAGAAGTTTTTGGTGTCCAGCCGACCGGCGGATTTGTGCGGGCGGTCACCAATGGCAGAAATTGGGGTTGTGGGCCCAGAGGCGCCAGCTGGTGGAGGACTGGTCTGTGCGTGCAGTTTGCACATGGCTCGTGCGCCCCATCTGGCCCCATATGTCCCTCCCCTGTCACTTTGTTTGTTTTCCCCCTTTCGCGGGACGTTCCGTGGTTGTTGTCATCCCGTCTGTCCGGGCAAAGTCCCGCTTTCACCATTCGCATCTCCAGTCATCCACGAACGTGGAGGTAAGTCACAGCGATCGAAAATACATTCGGTATAACTACATAAACAAATCTACTTGTGCCTCATATAACAATCATGCTCTTGTGGCTTTTGTCTATCGCTAACCTCCCATGTGCTTGCAAGACGCCTCGCTCTGGATATTTAGGTCCTTCTCTTCTTCAATGTGTCTTCAGTTGGCTAAGGTATGGCACTTGCCTACGAACCTTCGCTGTACTTTCAGAACCCCAATTGTTGTTATCCCAGAAGCAAAATGCTCTCCATGTAATAAAAACAAGCTCCTATGCAAGGGAAGTCAAGAAAAAGCACTACAATACAGTTCCCATCCCTATCCTTGTTTTGTTCATACCAGACTGCTCTTGACAGACACCGAGGCCTTGCCCGGCAGAGCCTTTGCCGGCTTGTTCAACTATGAGACCGCCGTCACCACTTGATGCTTGAATGCTTCGACTTCCTTCAATGCCATTTCTACCCGTAAACTCACAGGTTGGTAGTGCAAGGATTTTCATCAGCAGCGCTGGTCGATTAAACTGTAGTAAGGGTTGGTAAAACGGACTATCACCGGCTATATGCGAGATGAAAGACAGAAGTCGATACGGGATGAACGTAGGGCTCTAAAAGTTGCCCCTCTATTACTGACTTCTAATGTCTTTTGATTCTTTCCGTAGCTGGCGCTCGGTGGTCGATGGCCTTCGTCGGATTTGTCGGGTTGAGTTCAAGCTCATGGCGATTATTGCAAGAGCTTGGTCTCCTCGGGCTTCAAAGCCACGAGGAAATCACGGCACACCTCGTAACTCAGCCAGCTTGAGGCCATGCTGGGCGCGACCTTGAGCAAATTGGGTACTATCCCCTTGTACAAGCCGCGCACGCCTTCCTCTGTGACGATGACGCGAATGGCGTCAAAGATGCCCTTATACTGGTATCCCATGCCAGACATGGTGTTGATCTGGAAGCGACGGCGCAACACATCACTATGCTCTGTCAGTACGACATAGTCACTCGACATTGAGTCTGGGTATGAACTTACAAGGGGTATGTGCAGGTCTGAGCAACCGCGCCGGAGATCGCGCCGGCAAGCAATTTCCTGACGGCACTCGGGTTTTGCTCACCATCCAAAGTGAGGTATTGGCGCACGTGCTCGTAAACCATGAAGTTGAGACCGACCTGTTACTCACAGTCAGCGCCCCGAAGAGTCCGTTGACACATGCCAAGTTCGACTTACGTAAGGAGCAACACCGGCGACAGTGGGAACGATTCCTCGATAGAGCGCCGGGACTCCGCCCTCAGTCCTGTACATCTTGACCAACGTTTCCCACATGCCGGGCATTTTGCGTGGCCTTTCACCGAGCTCCGCGAAGGAAGCAGTCTGGATGGACAATCTTGTCCTGACGATATCGAGGGGGTAGGTGAAGGTAACTGAGGTGATACCGGCGAGACCACCGCAGGTCAATCTCGACAGAGGGGTGAGAGAGTCGCCCGGGTGCCTCTCAAAAAATGTTTCGCTTGTAGAAGTTGTAGCTGCCGAACTGCACCGCCGAATATGGCACGATACGGATGCAATTGGTGCCGTTGCCAGCCATGAATCCTCTCCAACCCTCTTCCCTCCACATTTTCGCCAACGCCTTGCCCACACTAAGCTTGTACGCTTCGCGACCGTTACTTTGGACCTGGTAGAGGATTTTGAGGCGTTCGAGGGGCGAGACTACCGTTCGGGATACGGCACCGGCAACACCGCCGGCGCAAAAGGCGGCCACTGTGGGCTGGGAGACAGCAGATCGGAATTGGTCGGCGGCGCTCATCTTGTCGACAGTTGGTATGGGTAGAGGCGAGGGTACGCCGCTAGCGCTTGGCGTCTGGAGGAAGACAAGTCAGCCAAAGATCAGAAGATAGTAACGTGCAAGCAAGTTTCCATGTTCGCGGTTCGGCTTGTAGCGGGTAAACGGAAGTAGGAGCATGTAAAGCCGCGGCGCAAAGGCTACGGACCATGCGGCATGCCATACGGATCGCTGGGAAGGGGATGAACATACCGTGGACATTCTAAAGACTTGGTGAGAGGGGTTACCTCTTGGATTCGGGTGGATGAGAAGGTATCGCGAAATTCGATATGTCGCTGCTCAGGGGCGCAGGGCGCATGCGCAATGTGGATGTGTCCTTTGGAAGATCGCAGATATGGCGCCAAGCACGATGACGCAGGGTTTGTTGACTCGCGGTTATATAGCTGGAGATGCAGCTCCCGTCGGTGAAGGATATTTCGTTGCAGGAGGAATTGATATACCGCTTGATAGAAAGGTAAATTCGTCTTGTTGGTGAGAGGTTCTCGTCGTGGTGATGGGGAGAGTGGAAAGTCGCAGGACGGAAGTTTTGCTCGGCTTTGGCTGGATGTGACTGGGGGGTTGAGTGTTGTTCTCGGTAAACCCAGACAATCTAGGGGTTCCCGTGGCGCCGGGGATTATCTTATGTCGGCTTGAAGGCTAGTGGACAGTGTTAAAGGTATTAAAGAGATGCGGCGCTTTAAGTGTTCTTCGTTGCACGTAATGCAAAAAAAGGGATCATATACGGTAGAGGCGCAACCTAACAAGCTCCGTGTAACACAGAAAGAAGAAGAAGAAGAAGACGCAAGGCAGGCAAAAAGGAAAGGGAAAGTCAGAAGGGAAAGGGTATAAAAAGGAGAGTCGGGAAGTTGTCAATAGGTTCCGGGGCCCAGTGAAGAGATGCGGAGCTTTTTGGACTGCTCCTTCTGGAAGAATGAACCAAGTGAATGGATGAAATCCAGGGCGGCACTGGGCGGGACCGAGTGAATCGGCTTGTGGGGTTGCATGACGAAAATTCCCAGCAATCAACTGGAAAGCCATTGGAGGTTGAGCAGCCGACAGCCGCGAGATGCCTGCCAAGCCCTGACAGCAACGTGAAGCTACCAAAAATCATTCCTTCCCGTCCCGTTCCAGCAGTGAAAGGTTGCCCTGTCGTCGTTCCTGTCATGCCCGTCATCTTGTCTTGCTGCCAATGTCCCAATGTCTGAGCGTGGGTTTGAAGTTCTCGATCTTCCAATGCTTTGTTCGTCATTGTTTTCTTCCATCTCAAATTTCTATGAAGGCACTCACCCCCTTTCCAGTTCAGTTTCCACACAAACGTTGGCCAAATAAAAAGAACAACCTTGAACCCATCCTAACAGATCCAGCTGATCTCACAGAACCCCTTGGCTTGACCGTTTTTGAGGGTCACCTGACCGTTCGCCTTGACTAAGTCACCACAAGGGGCCCAGTGCTACACTACGACAAAGGAGACAGCACACTACGCTATAATAGGACAAAGTCGAGGATCACCCGTTCGGTTACGTCTTCTAGCCCTACACTACGTTTGCTACGCTAGCTAACCTTACCTACTCTTGACAACAACCTTCATCTCACGACAACCAGTGCTTACAACGTGCTGGGATATCTCCAAAGTAGAAGACTGACGGAGGAGCTGACACCAGCGCCTCACTCACTGATAGCACCTCAATGATACGCCGATACGGGATCTAGTATGCCACAAACGGACAACGACAGTAAGCCTTTGTAGTGAGCTGAAGCCTGCTGAGCAAGCACGACATACAGCCCACACACCTCCCATAGAGCTCATGTGATGTAACGGCAGTGTAGACCAGACATAAGAGGTAGGGAAGACGGCATGGCCGTTCAGCTGGTCTGCGTTGCATGGTACCTTAATGACTTCGATGGTCTTGGCTGTAGACCTTGAGGCTTTGCCGTTGTCAAAGAGAGATAGTATAGTGTACACAGTCACTTCAAATTTATCAATAGCTCTGCGATGTGGTGTCTATAAACACTCGACAAAGTTTTTGGTACACTTCTATAACTCGTCTGACTTTGCCAGTACGTTACCTCTGAGCTTCATTATAACCAGGATTACGACTGCATATGCCAATGTTCCCAATTCGCCAATCAGCCAATCTCCTTTGCAGCGCTTTCACTCGGCTTCCAAAGGAGATGCAAGATATCATGATTGAAATCCATATCAGGACGCATTCAACTGGTGCTGAATGATATTTTCTCATCTTCATTCAACCTCCTTTGACCCGAACCGTTCTTTGAGAAAGTTGGGATGTCATGATATTTCTCTACTCAGACTAGTTCTGGATTCGGGCTATTACTTGATAAGTGAGCCAACAGATGTCTCCTGGGGAAGTATCGCTGTGCATAATGGGTTATTTAAGCTGTCGAAGAGTGAACCAGTTGACTCTAGATAGACAAGAACGCCTAGTATCACAATAGCCACCGAGGTAAGAGTCCGAGTACTATACATCTCCATCTGTAGAAACACAAAAAAGCAAAGCCTAATCACCCGTCATACAATTCGCTCATCCGCCTCTTCGCACAAGTCTGCCCGCGGAACCATATTCACCTCAGTAGCCCCTACCATTTACTACCTAAACAGCTGCTCTAGCTACTTTTCTGTTTGAGAGATAAAAAAAAACCGCAGACAACAAATAAGGAAATAAAACAAGTAGGCCGCCGGTCACCAAGACCAAGAGCCCCTTTCTGCCCACCCCTTAAGGGTTCACCCGCTATAATTGTTGTGTTGCCGGCATACCGAACTTGCCAAGACACGAAGTTAAGCCTTGGAAGTCAAGACCTATATTTCGGCAAATAGCAGCTGTTCGTTTCGTCCTTTGACAGGTCATTGGATCATGGATCCATACCAGCAGTGTACCATCGTACAAAGGATCGTCCTTCCGGATTTTATAGTATCCGAACGGTCGGAATGGCGAGTATAGTTTTCAATAGGACCTCGATCGACCGCTTCGTCTCGATTCTATAGTTGAAAAATGGGTGTGAGGCGTCATATAACCAGCACGCCAAATGCAGCCGCCCAAGAAAGAGGGCCCGACATCAGCATGCCCACCACACAGAAGCAAGGAAATCACGGAACCACAGTAACAGTTGGCGTTTCTTACAACATGCCAACACAGCAGGCGGGGCTTGAGTGACTGGTCCCAAGGAGAGACCCCGCGCCGTGAGTGGGGTGATCCGTTTACTCGGCAACGTCGAGGTCGTCGTGGGCAGGCCTCTCGGGGCTATCGATGGCTGCAAAGGGATAGGTCGTCAGATCATGGCCGTGCACGGGGGGGTGTTCGCTCAAAGGGTATACGTACCCTTTCTGTCGTCACCGTTGGTGCCGTTCTCGCGACGATCACGGTCCTCGCGGTCGCGGTCGTCCTTAACATCGCGCTCACGCTCACTAGAAGGATGTCAGCGTCGGGCAGAAAAAACCTTGCGGCAAAGGGTCATGGGCCACCTACCGCTCAGGGCTGCGAGAGCGGTCACGAGTATCGCGGCGATCACGCTCGTAGTCACGGTCGCGATCGCGGTCACGACGATCATCCTTCCTGGGGGAGTAATCTCTGGTGCTGCGTCTAGGGCTAGGAGAGCGGCGACGAGGAGAGCGGTCGCGGCCGCGAGGACCACGCTCACGGTCACTGCGGTCGAAGCGCCAAGAAGCGGATGGGGGAGTGCGAGCCCACTAGAGTGGGAGTTAGCAACCAGCCTATTATGAGCTTTGGTTTGTTCTGGCAGGAAAAGGTGGACTGACCTCGATCTTCAGAATGTCATCGCGGCCAATGCGCTTGTTATGCATATCATGGTACGCATCGTCGGCATCACGACGATCCTCGTACTCAACGAAAGCGAAGCTTTAAAGCTTGCCGTTAGCTCCAACTCAATTCCATCTCTGGGAGGGATAAACAATGGTAACATACAGTCTGCTGCTGGCACTGCGAGGAGCAGGAATGTCGCAGCGCACAAGGCGGCCGTAGCTATGATATGCGTCAGTACTCGGGACTAACGTAGAATGATTCGTTTCGTGGAGATGATGGATGCCGTTCTGCAGAGGCGCGTGATCGAGCTCGAGATGTTCCGCCATGATCGACGGGCTACTCGCCCGACGTGGGGGGAAATGGTACGTGTAGGCGCCGACCGCTCGGAGAGAGAATGGGGATGGTTCGAGGGCGTGGGCGTCGAAATGACAACGAGGTTACCTCGAGCGGATCATGGAGCGCAGTGGACATAGCGAAGAGCGGCGGGAGAGACGGACAGGAGATAGGAGACTGTCGCAAGAAGGGCGAAGACGAAGACGGAGAGGGTTCGGAGAGGGTTCGGAGGGGGGTTCGACGACGGGGGCGGGAGAGATGGAGGAGAGGACGGGGCGGGATGGGGAGGGCGAGGGCGGATCGAGGACAGGAACCGTACTCGAAGGTGGTGATCGAGTCATCGCCGTTGTAGTGATTTGCTTGCTAGATAACGTACCGCTCGAACTCGTAGGCAAGGTCGCGCGCGCGGGTGCCGTGGCTGAACCCGGTCACGTAGAGAGTGGTGCCGTTGCGAGACATGGTGAGAATCGATTGTGCCGTACGCGATTCACGGTCGCGGTCGATGATGACAGATGGCAGGCCTAAGAGTAAATGCTAGATGAGTGTGTTGCTCTCGGGCAAAGGAGAGGCCGACTGCGCGGATATAAGTAAGGTAAGGTAGTAGAGTTGCAAATGGAAAAAGGCGACGAATGGATAAGCAGCAATAGAAGCCGGATTGGGGGGAAGGTTTTAGGTGAAGGTAGTAGGAGCTGGGCGGTGGGTGGTTGTGTATGCGTGGAAAGAGGAGACAGGACACACCGTTTTTGGGGAGGTGAAGTGGAAGGGGAGAACTGATTGAGAAGGGAAGCGAAGCAGTGGGAAGCGGAAGGGGAACCTCGAACCTGAAAATGGCCCGAGTTGGAAATTTGGATGTCGCTGGAGCACAGTGGAAAATGTTCCGTTTCTGATCGAATCGTCGGGCCCGGCCACTGCAAGCTCGGGCACATGCACCCACCGCACGCGCTGAAAACCTTCAACTTGACGCCCGGGAACGCTGGGGCCCAGGCAAATGGCAGGTTCGAGGCAGGGAATTGAGAAGGCGGTAAGGCGATGGACCCACCGTAAAATGACGTATGATTGGTGTATCGACCGTGTGATTGGCAGCCGTGTCGCGACAGCACGCACCAGCAGCCTTGACACTGCACTAACAATTTCCTCAGGCGACAGGGTCCAATATTTCCACATGTCTTCCCGTCTCCCGTCTCGGCTCCCGTCTCATCCCTTTTGATGATCTTCAATCCCCCAGTCACTGCCATGACGCCGTCAACAACACCGACAAGGTCATAGCCACAGTACTAACATCGCTAGCAGGGAATAGGAAAAAAAAAAAAACCCCGTATGCAAGATGAGTGTATTCATTCAGACACATATATCCAACCTAATCCAACTTCCACATCAACTATGCCACTCCGTCCCCGTTCATGAACGCCAACGCCGCCAGATGTCCTCCCGGTTTGTACAAATTACAGAATCAAATACAAACTGCAAAGGATACTCGGGCCCGTAAAGATGCCCAGCCAAAAGAAAACATTTCCCAACGTCTTCCTATTCCTCATCCACTTTGTTCTGCTCATGCTCACCAGCTGTCCAGAAAACGTTAGCATGCTGTCAGTCAACGGGTAGGATGATTCAAACTTACCGGCAACTGGAACATTTGGAGGAAAAGCAAATAGCCTCTCAGCTTCTTGAAGATACACCACATGACCAGCTCATGAACACACGCCGACAAGAAGAAGGTGATGAGCGTGGCCGTGTGCTTGTCAACCTTCATGGCCGAGATGGAGCTGTGGTATACATGTCTCAACAAGAAGTTATGCACCGGTCGGTTCCAGTCTCTGGCGAACTGATCCCACGACACGCAGTTCCACCAGGCATCATAGAAGCTCCGGTCGGCGAACTTGGTGAGCTCCGCCACAAAGTTGAGGATCGTCTCCCAGATGAGATACCACGACAGCAAATACTCCATCATGAAGGGGAAGATCAAGTCCGCCAGCATCCAAGGGAAATACTGGAACCGCTCGCTCAGTGGCATCCCGATCTCTTTCATCCTGACGGTCTCCATGACCACGGGATAGATGAAAGCCTGCGAGATGATGATCATGACGAAGATGACGCCGAAGCAGGCCACCATCTTCTCGGCAGCATAGTACCAGTTGATAGACTCGGACCGCGGATACTCGAGCTCGTACACCAGCGTTGGCAGCACGATGAACTCGTAATGGTTGGCCAGCGTTAGGTTATTCGGATACACCCTCTTGTCGTCGGTCGCCTTGCCTCTCAGCTCATCCGTCATGGCGTCCACCTCCCACTTGAGCGCCCGCTCAAAAACATGGACCTGCTCCTCATCTAACGGCTCGCGCGAGTCAATTGCCGCAACGATCTTATCCACGTCATCCTCTGGGGCTTCCTGGCCACCATCAGCCCCTTGAGCAGCAACCGACATCCTTCTTCTCTCCTTATACTCCTGCGCAGACGGCACTCTTGACAGATGCTCCGTCGACAAGTCTCTCGGCAGCAGGGGGAACGGCTCCGTCCAGCTCCTGTTCGGATCATGCTTGGTCACCACTTCGACATGCTCCAGCTCCTTCAGCTTTGCCAACAACAACTGCCGCTTCTTCCACACCGACGCCAGGTACCCGTTATAGAATGCGTACGAATGCATCTTCATCAGCATGACCATGCCATGCATGACGAAAAACACGGTATGCGTCCATGGCCAGTCTCTTACTAAGGGAAAACCGACAACACCAGCCACGAACAGACACTGCCAGATGTTCTGCAACACCCATCCTTCTCTATCCCAATCGACCGTGCCCCGACGGACAAGGCGTTGGAGAATCCAGGAGAAGCCAGTGGAAAAGCACATCACGCCGTCGGCGATCAGCAAGACAGCCAAGTCCCGATGGAACATAATCCGCAAGATCTCGTTCCGCCCCAACGGGTTGCCGTGCAGCCGCCAGTTCTCGGCGCCGATCTTGATGACGAAGAGGGAGATGCCGAGCCAGAAAAGCGTAAGAAGCCGTGGAAGGGCGAGGAGGCCGCCAGGGCGTTTTGGCGGTCAAAAGTGGAGAAGTTGCGGGTGAAGACTAGGTCGGAGAATTTGCCTCTTCTTTTGCCCTCTTTGACGATTTGGCGGTGGCGTGGTGGTGGTCGGTCGATTCCGTTGCTACTAACATAGGAGAAGAAGCAGACGCGGACTCGGTGGATGACATGCCCTCTATCCGCTGACATTGCTTTTCGATAGCCGTCAGAAGCGAGTTGTGGATGTCGGTTGTTGAGGGAGTGGTGGTTCCGACGGTGATGGTGGGTCGTATTTGCTTCACCTCTCCTCCTCCCGCGCCATTTCCCTCTGCTGTTGATGAGACGCCAGCGTTTTCATCACTATCACCATCCATCGTCACGGTAAGCAAAAACGCTGCCGGCGGCTCTCCCGCCGTTGAATTTCTCTTATCATCTCCGTTCTCATCCCGCTGTACCATGGCGTCGGGTGAAATGGTGAGGTCGTCGTAGTCTTCGATTGCCGGGCTGTCCGTTCCGGACGATGGCGATGGTGATGATGATTCTGACACTGACACTGACTCTGACACTGACTCTGCCGCCACTTTCTCGTTCTCCGGCGTTCCAGTCCCAGTCCCAGTCCCAGTCCCGGTACGACTGCTGCCGCTGGTACTGTCCAATGGTGAAATTTCTCCATCGCCATCGCCATCACTTTCTTCTTCTTGTGACAGGTTGGGACTCTGGTCTGGCGTTGGCAGGGAGAAGAAGGGCCGGTTTTCGGGTTTGATGTTGGATTTGGTAAGGACGTCGTTTGATGTTGGTGATGACGGTGACGGATCTGATGATGAATATGATGGCTTGATAGAGGGGCGTTTTGTTCGTGGTTTGATGTGACTGTTTGGTGATGACGATGGCGCTGACACCGGCACCGGGTAGCTGGATATGGAGGACTCCATGGTTTCCATAGATTTGGAGAACCGAATCTGAGTTGACGAGTTGTTGTTCCGGATTCGTGACCTCTTGTCGTCACTTGCTTTCGTGACTTGTTTGCGAGGACTGGATATGCCAAAAGTGATTTTGAAGTATCGATATTGGTATCGGTAGGTTTTTACCACTTCAGAAAGGAGGTCCGGATTTAGGTAGGCAGGCGAATTTCAAAAAACTGAAGAACAACAAGATAGGTTCTTTGAAGGTTTGAAATTGTGGATCTCCAAGCAGAGCGGATCGAAAGTCGCTCGCACGGATAGCCGCGCGTGATGTCGATATGTTTCTCGCAGGGCAATCCCAATCTCGGCGATAGTCCAGTCCAGCAGTACTCGTATCCCGAACGATATATGTGGATCGTGGGTAGGTGGTATGGAAGTCGGCTGCGTTGGTTTGATACAGTATGTTGATGTTGATGCAGTGTCTTTGAACTTTAAACTTAGTTTGAAGAAGAAACAGTAAAAAGAAGAAGAAGAAGGAAAGGGCCAGGTAATTGTAAGCTAAGCCAGGGGTCCTTCAAAAGCTGTCCTCTTATAGGAAAGCGATCCTTAAAAAGATAGATGTCAATCATTCACATTCAAGAAAGCAAGAAGAAAACAAGATTTGCCCAATTAGAAAAACCAATACTCCATCCAAAGCAAGTCTTCAGTCCCGTCCTACTCCGGATCAAGCGGATCCCTTCTCGTCGCTTTCTTAGTGTACACAGGCAAGCGGGCGGGCGGGCTCGGGAATCAAGTGCGGGACGAACGGGATGGAAGGATGGACGTGTGGGATCGACGCAGCGGACTTTTTGCAAGAAGAGATGAACTGTGCTGGTCTTTACACAGTCAGAACAGTATGTATAGTACGCCTCAACTCAAGTGAGTATGGTATGTCTGGCACTTTTGGCATTTGTGCAGGCACGGATGCGGCACAAGGATGGATGGGAATTGGGAACAGGGAACGGCAAAGATGCGGAAAGTCCGGGCTTTCGTTGGTGATGACCAGGGAGAAAAGGTCGATCGATGATGGACGTCATTCGTTTTTGTGCGGATAGAGAGAGAGGTAAAGGGGCATTTCGGAATTCGTCCATGATCAGGTGTATATAGCATGAAAAGGCAGTCTCCTGATAATGGGAGGTCTAGATCCAGGACTTGCTTTCTCGCTTCTCCCGCTTCAAATTGAAGAGGGCCGAGTTGCGAAATGCCGAATGACTGCTTACCACTCACCAATTCACCCCTCCTTCTCCGGTCTTGCTCCCGTCTAGTATCGTCTTGCTCTAATGAAAACGGAACAAAGAAAAAAAGCTACAGCTTCTGAATGGCTATCAACGATGTTCAAATTCCTTTTCAACAAAGCAACCGGTTCGAGTCTGCAAACATTGGGAACTTTCACCCGAATCCACAAAAAAACAACGCCATGACGCCGTCAATGATTCAAGCAAAGTCGGAAAAGTCCCGCTCGTTCGGTGCATGAGTGGAAGCTCGCGCGGACAAGGGTCGGGTTGGGGGTCTGTGGAGAAGGCAAGTGGAGGAAATGACATATGCAGGGCCCTGGGATGTCGGATGAACCGGAGATGTCTCCCCCCAAGTTCAATACTATAGGGCTGAAGTTGCCACACCACGCCCGCCTCAACTTAGTCAGACTTTATTGGCTTGGGGGTTTGGGGTTTTTGATTGAGGTTGTGTAACAAGACAGCTGAAGGGTCGGGTTTATACGGCGGCAGTTGAACTTCTTCGGAACGGATTTCCAGAATTGCGTGTTTATCTCAGGTGGAATGGACGCTTTTTGATGGATCGTCGGGTTGATAACGAAAAGACCGAACAGGCATTCCATAGCATACGGCTTGCAAAAGTGAAGTGTGGGCTTCAAAGAGAAAATAAACATTCGCAAAGACAATTCGCCAGTTCGACTTTTTTTTAAACAATCCATCGCCCTACCAAGGCTGCATCTTTATATTCATCCCCCGTTATTTCAGGTAAGTCCACTTCATCATTCCCATCATATTATTTACTGCATCTTCTCATATGTAGCCATCAACGAACCTAGCGCATATGTTAGTCTGGCCGCTCAAACTGAACCATAAAAGTCAAAAGGAGTAACTTACCGATAAAGGTCGTGACCAAGCGGCTGCGCACTTGGCAGATATCCTCCGGCACCAGCCAGATGGTAGCGCCCATCTTTCTGGCAATGCTGATACTGAGCTTGGCATTGAGGTAAGCATCATCATCAGTCTTGCCGGGAGTAACCAAGTCGTAATCAACATAGCTGCTCTTCATGCCGTTAAGCACATCCAACAGGAAAATACCCGAGCCAATGGCAGGGTCCTTGAACGAGCGGATGCTCGAGGTGCGGCCACCCTTGCGGGACATCTCGTTGGCCCATTTGACCATCTCCGAATCCGTGATCTCACGCTTGCCGAGGCGCTGAGCAAGACCGTGCAGGGTAAGGGTAATGTCCTTGCGCATCAGCTGCCAGACAAGACCCAGGGTCAAGGTGCGCTGGCCATCCGTAATATCGGCACCCTGGATACCGACCAGGGAGAAGCCGTTCTGCTTACCGAGCTCGATCGCGTAGTTGGTGTTTTCGACGGCCTTGAAGCGCATCAGTTCACCGCCGTTCGCGGGAGCCTTGTTGACATGGCGCCAGTTGACGGATCCCTTGATAACCTTGTCGTATGCTTGTAGGAGAACGGTACCATCGCGGAGGTCGTCGAAGAAGGACTGAACGGCGGGGTTAACGTCCAAGCTGTTGAGCCACAGGGTGAACACACGAGCCTCACGCTCGCCTTCAGCGTCAAAGTCCTCGACCTCAAGCTTCTCCTCCTCAGTGATGGGGTCGAGACAAGGGTGTGTGTTGAAGAGGTTGGCAACGAAAGCGAGGTTGAGCTTGGGGTTACCGGCAACGAGGGAAGAGGGAGAAAGGAACTTGCGGCAACCGAGCTTGTCGGCGTTCTGGAGAACCTCCTCAGCCCGCTGATGGAGGTCGCGCGTCTGCAGAGGCGCCCGCGTGCAGCCATAATCGGCACCGATCTGGGCAAGAAGGACAGTGTAGTTCTCGGCATCCTTGACGTCGGACGAGAAGTTGGCCACCCTCCTAGGCCAGCCGGCGGCCTTGAGGTGGTAGTTGAACCAGCGGAGGAGAATCTGCTCGGGAGGGAGTCTGAGGAACTGCTCGAGGGTCTCGTCCTCGTCGAGAAGGCGGTAGAGCTCGGGGTGGAGCTTGATGTCGATCTTGCTGAGCAAGCCCCTGCGGATAATCTGCCAGATAAGACCCAGAATAAGATGCTCCCTGACCTCAATGATGTCGGAGCTACCAATGTTGACGACCGAGCAACCAATACCCTTTGCCGACTCAATAACAATGTTGTTGTTTTCTGTCATCTGGAACGCGTTGAGGTTCTTGGTCTTCTTGCCGGGCATGTTCAGTACACGCTCATCGATGGTGTCGGGAACGCTGTCGTTGATGAGCTTGGCCAGGACCAAACCATCCTTGCACTCGTCGAACATCTCGAAAGTGTCGGTCGGGAAGGGCAGACGAGCGCCGATGTCGCGGTCGCCCGCAAGGACGGCGTTGATGTGGCGCGTGAATTCGGTACGTTCATCTTCGTTGATGGTGTGGGTGATGTTAGCGTTCGAGCCTTGGACGAAGATCTTGCCGCTACCACCGATGGAGGGCTTCGAGGAGTGGCTGGGAGTAGCGCCTCCTGTGCGCTGGGCGATGACAGAAGCCGGGGTCGACGGAGCAGCAGCGGCGCTGCCGGGACCTTCGCGGAGCTTGGCGACGAGCTATAGAGTCGAGATTGTCAGCCATATCTTTTTGATGGACGGTGTTTGTGTGTGTGATGCGACTGGTGATGTGACCCCTCTCGACGGTTGCTGGGGGAACTTGGAGCTTGGAGCTTGGAGCTTGGAAGAAGTGGCTTCAACTTACCCCAACGTAATCTTCGAGTTCTACACGGCGCGAGGCATCGAGACCGACTTCTTTGAGGGCTGCGCGGACGGCATCGTAGGGCTGGCGCTCGCTGGCCTGGGTGGCCTTGATGGCGGTGGTCTCGTCAATGTACCCCTTATCGTCTACGTCGAGCTTGCGGAAGGCATCGGACAAGCCGAAGATGTCGCTCTGTTGTAGTTGAGGGAATTTCCTAGTTCCATTAGCTGTGTTCTGCTGTTGCGCATATCGTCTGTAGCTTTGGGGGCTCGTCTTCTGTGTCCTTACCTCTGGAGCTTGAGGACATTCATGATTGCAGATGGTGATGCGGAAAAGGGGTCAACCTCCTCTTAGTGATAAATGGCGTGACTATGCTTCGCAAGGCTATGCGGCGGGAACCGTGGAAGAGCAAATCCCTTTATTAACAAAGTAAAGAAGACGCCCCAATGCGGTCGTCAGTATTAGATTATTTTCCTAATATGGGTGTAGTGTGTAGGCGGTGCTGGTGATGACGGGATTGGGACTATGCTCTGGCGGAAAAGGGGAGTGGATGTTATTTGTATGAATGAATGCCTGGAGCAGCCGGAGTTCTTGCTGTTAACGATCAATGAAGTGCCTTGTTCCTCCTCCCGTTCCATGCGTCGTCGGCCGAAGAAGCGAAGCTCAAAAGAGCATGGCCGCTACAGGCAGTCAAGGTACGGGCTGGCGGGGGCGGGGACGCCATCGCAATTGAGACAAGCACTAACAGCAGGTCCCAGAAGCAGTCTGATGTAATCGCCCAGCTTTCGTAACGCCCTCGCAGCCCAATCAGCCATGCTTCAGGCAGCCAGCCTAGCAATAAACCTGGTGGCTTTTTTCCCACTTGCATGGGAACCCTGAACCACCGCCAGGCTTCCGTTTGGCTTGGGAGTTCTGTTAAGCGTGAACTTGTACGAGATTGAAAGTTATACGTCGGGCCCTGTACCTCACTAACAGCCTGTAGAGAATTTTACTTTGCCTTTTCTTCCATCTCGGGATAACCTCACGTCTGTCTAAGCCACAACAAGCCGAAACTTTTTCAGCAAATCATTGCTGTTTTTCAATAACTGCCAACTTGGGATTACGACGCCTCCAAACGCGCGTTGCTTCAACAAGTGAAATCACAAATCACCATACAACTATTTTCCCAAGGTAAGTCACCATTTCTCATCTCACGCTCACAGTGCCTCACTAACTCACCACCAGATACCACATCCACCCATCATAATGTCCGTCTGCAAAGCCTGCGAGGAGCCTCTCTACCTCGAAGTCGACCCCGACTACGACCTAGACCAGGACTCCGAGGACGAAGACTCCATGGAAACCGGCGGCCCCTCATCCTCCTCCAACCCTTCAGGTCAACAACCCACCCAAGTCCCCGACGACCTCCTCCTCCCCTGCTCGTGCCACTACCACTGGCAATGTCTAATGGACCTCTCCTCAACCGTTGCCATGTCCCTCCGCTGTCCTTCTTGCAACACTTACCTCCCCACCAACACCTCTTCCGGGTCATCATCAAACCAGAACCAGGCTTCTTCAGTACCCATAAGCGCCACAAACCCTCTCCTCCCCACCTCCCAAGGCCTTGCCATCTTTTGTCAGTATCACAACGAAGGCGGCCTCCAATCCTCCCTCGACATTTTGCCGGCTCTCACCGAAGAAGCCTACCTCTCCTCCAACCCCAGCGCCAGACCAGCAAGGGCCATGCACACCATGGCTTCCGAGGGCGATTTCGCGGGTATCATCGAGCTGTTGACGGACGTCGCGGCTTCTGATCCTTCAGATGAAGATGGAAGTGCGGGAATCACGCCCAGTGAACTGTTGACGTTCCGCGACCCGCTGAACGAGGGCAAGACGGCGTTGCATCTTGCTGTGGAGAATGGGCGCGAAGAAGTGTTTTGGCTTTTGCTTTGGTTGGGCAGTGGGCTGCCGACCGAGGTGTTTCCCCCGGAGGTGGTGCAGGTTGCGAATGGGGTGGGCGTGGGGGAGAGGAGGGAGCAGGTTGGGCAGGAGGAGGATGTGAGGTGGGTTAGGGATGAGAGGGGAAGGGGTGTTAAGGAGGTTTGTGCGGAGGTGGGTGGCAGGTGGGGGGAGTATATGGCGGGGGGTTTGTTTGATTAGGGTGTGTTAAGAAGAAGGGAGTTTGTGGAAAAAGGAGGACAGTGATCTCAAGGGTTTGGGAGGGAGTTGTGGTGATAACTAACATGGGGTCAAGATGGTCTAGATAAAAGTTAAGGTGATGAGGAAAAGATAAGGGCTATAGAAAAAAAGGGAAAGCCTTGGTCATGAGTCAATGAAATCAATACACGGTATCAACGCTTCATGGTCTCTTTTGATATATCATGAATCATGAATTGCTTCCGTAAACCGCCTACCTTGTTGATGTATGTGTATGCCTTACAGAAAGAGAATCCTGAACTATGCACACGTAATCGTACTCTTACTTACCATACCATGCCTTGCCATGCCATGCCATGCTCTCGCCATGCTGAAATCCATAAACACCAAATCCTAGACCGCCAGCTAGACGCCAGAAATGCTTCCATCCCAAATACCATATGCACAGTTTATAACCAAGCAAACCATTGTGAGCCAAGAGCAAACCCATCGCTTTGAATAAACAACGACCGGCTGGTCCTAACCATCCAGTTCAGTGCAAAAAGCTAGCATTAACCCCCCTACGATCCTTTTTGAGCGGGCTGAACTTATCCACCTTCCCAAAAGGATTCTTACTCCCTCCAGCAATATGCACCTTACCCACCATGGTCTTCCCAAGAGGGGCAACCACCCTCTTGGCCGTCGCTTTGCCAGTGACTGCTGCCGCTACCGCTTTACCCTTTCCAGGAAGGATACTGGTGTCGACTCGCTCGCCTTCATCGTCGTTATCGAATAGCGTGGTGTTGCTGGTGTTACCGAGCAGTTTGCGCTTCTTCTTCTTTTGCAGCGGTGCTGCTTGTTGGGAGATGGTGGGCTGCTGCTGCTGCTGCTGCTCGGTTTCGGATGTGGGTGCTGACGAGGGCTTGGTTTTGGGCTTGAGTTCGGGTTTCTTGGGGGCTGGTTTGCTGGCTTCTGGTTCAGGCTCGGCTTCTTCTTCTGTTGGCTTTGGCGGCACTTTGCTGATCCTCAATTTCGGTACCTTGATGGGACCCTTCTTGGACGCTGCCGAGGCTGCGAGCGGTCTTAAGGCCTTGACCTTGCCACGACCCTTCTTCGCCTTCTCCTCTGGCTTGCTATTGTTCTCATCCCCTCCCTCAGTTTCCGGAGCGCCACCTCCGGCCTTCTCTATTTGCTCGGTAACCTTCGCCTCTGTTGGTGTATTTCCTGTCGGGCGAAGATGTGCTAGGACGGAATCGTCGCCAAGTTCCATGAGGGAATCCTCTGCTGGTGCCGGGGTAGGCTTAGGCGCAGCTTCATTCTCAGCCGCGCTCTCGGCCGGTGCATCCTCATTGGTGGTTCCGTCTGGGTTGAGCGTCTTGTTGAGGAAAGGCGTGATGGAAAACGTGGACTTTTGAACCATGTCCGATGGGTCGAATCCCCTCTTCTTAAGAGGGCGCTTCGGCCTGTCGGCTGCTCCCGGTGTACCAAGGGCCGTGTCCTCCAGCAACACCTCATCCGCACGCCTCTTCTTGCCCGCAACCTTCGCTGCCGCCTTCTTAGTCGGTATCGTGGTTGTTGACGTTACCAGCGCCAGCGCCGCTTTTGTCGCCTTCTCTCTGGCCTTTTCCAGATCGGCTTTGCATGTTTGGAGTTCTTCTTTGGTCTCCTGCAGCTTCGTCCTGAACTTATCCAGCTTGGCGTCCGTCGCTGCTTGTCGTGCTTCGGCCTCGGTGATCGCTTGCTGATTCTCTTTTCGTAACCTCTCCTTATCCTTCTTTTCCTCCGCCAGAGACTGCTTCAACTCATCCATCTGTTCCTGTAATGCCGCAAGTTCGTCCTCCGATACGGATGCCTTGGTCTCCTGGTTTTTTGCTTTGCGCTGAGCTGCCCGCTTTTCAGCTGTCAATGCCTTTTCTGTCTCGGCAAGCTTCTCTCTGAGCTGTTCGACCTCTTCCTCCATCTCCGTAGACTTTTCCTCTTGAGCCTTGGTCGCCTGTTCCATCTTGAACTTTTCCGACGCAAATTTATTTTCCGCCGTCGCTAGTTGTTCTCGAAGGGCTTTGACCTGTTGCTGAGAGTCCCCACCCTTTTGCGCTGCCTTTCTCTCCTTGTTGAGTTCCTTTTCGAGTTCGCGGATCTGTTTTCGGAGTTCCTCTTCTTCCTTGACATATCGCTCCTGCTTTTGCGCCGCCTTCTCCGCCGCGCGCTTCTCGTTGGCGAGCTCGACTTCCAGCGTGTTGAGTTGGCGTTCTAGTGCCAACTTTTCGGCGAGGACATCTTTTTGGTGTGACAATTGGGATTTGAGGTGTTCGATTTCGGGCTTGAGGACGGCGACTTCGCGTGTTAGGGCCAATTTCTCGGATAGGATCTTTGTGGAATCCTGTGATACTGTGCTGAATGCTGCGATTTCCTCCTGTCGCGTAGCGTTAGCATTGGTCCGACTTTTCCGCGCTAGCATTCTTGTACACCGCCCTACCTTAAGGTGGGCGATCTCGCGGATTTGGGCCTGGATCTGCTTCTCCTGCCGGGCGCATTGTTGCTGAATAGACTCTATTAGGTGGCGAGCGTCGTCGGCTTGTTGTATGAGGATCTTGATGCGATTGTCCTTGTGCGCGAGTTGGTCTTTTAGCGTGGCGTTATCATCGCGAAGTACCATGCTGCGCAACTTCATTCGGCGCCCGTCTTCCTCCCTGACCAACAGGTCCGCCTGATGGACAGCCTGCTTGTACCGCATCTCCAGCTCGAATATCCTCTCCGTTTTCTGATTCGCGACACATTGTCAGCCTACGAACGGGGGAGAGCGCGGGCCGGACGTCGAGGGTGGGTTGTGATTGACCTGTTCAGGATCCATGTTTACACATGGCGACACGCGTTTGGCAGGCATAGAGATGCAGACGCGCGCAATTAGTGTTGCAGTAAAATAATGCGTAAAGTCAAACGCAATGTAATGTCGACGGTCGCCGTTTTTTAATTCGAAAGTTGTATAATTGTTGTCGTGGTTTGGTATGAATTCGTGGCTGATAGTGGTAGTTGTGGTTGTTGGGTGGTATTGAAAATGACGAAGTCAAAAGGGCGAGCGCAACCTTCCAGTCCACCCTAACAACGGTCAGACTGCCCGCCAAACCTTGAAGTAAACAATGTTCCGGAAGAGGGATGGCCTGGGCATGGCCCCACTAAAGAACGGGGAAGGACTGGATGGAAATGGAGCCGCACCCTTGCTGTTGCCAGCCGGCAGCTTGAGCTCCACAGGTGTGAGATGTACCTGGAGGTACGTACCGGGACACGCATGTCATTTGAGGACACCTTGGACACCTCGATGTTTGGGAGCTGCCCGTTGCTGCTGTCCAGTGAGCTGCGTCCACTGTATCCCGTCAGCTAGCTGTACCTTGGGTTCGCCAAGCTCAACTTCAGCGACAAACCATCACCAACACCATCACCAACCTCGACGACGCCAACGACGACAACGAGGCCACATCGAGAGAATTGGAAGCAATTGGCCGGTCACAATTGCCCACGACAACACTCGATTGATCTGGTTAAACGATAAAGCTCGACAAGATGCGTTGGCTGCCCGCCTTCCTGTCGGCGTCGCTGTTCGCGGCCGGGTCATTTGCTGCTAAGAAGTCCTCCGAGGAACGATTCGCAGAGTTCCACGCCAAACAGATATCCCACGCCCCCGTCAAGCTCAATGATGTCTCTTTCAAATCTCTCACTACCGCTCCTCGCGATTACAGCGTCGCCGTTGTCCTGACAGCTCTCGATGCCCGCTACGGTTGCCAGCTCTGCCGCGAGTTCCAGCCCGAGTGGGAGCTGCTGTCCAAGAGCTGGGTCAAGGGCGATAAGTCTGGCGAGTCTCGTGTTGTTTTTGGTTCCTTGGACTTTGGCGAAGGCAGAGAGACCTTTATGGGTGTATGTATTCTCAGATTTGTTCTCGAATGGTTTCTTGGGAACAGAAAAGCTAACACCTTAACTCGTGATAGTTCGGCCTCCAAACTGCTCCCGTCCTCTTCTTCTTCCCTCCTACTGCCGGTCCTCACGCTGCTGCTAGCCCCGAGCCCATCCGTTATGACTTCACCAATGGACCCGTTCCCGCCGAAATGATGCACTCCTGGCTAGTCCGCCACCTTGAAGGCCGCCCTCACCCTCCCGTCAAGCGTCCCGTCGACTACCTCAAGTGGGCTGTGAGCTTCACCATGATCACCGGTAGCTTGACTGGCATCTACGTCCTCTGGCCTTACGTTGTGCCCGTGATCCAGAACCGCAATGTCTGGGCTGCCTTCACTCTGATCGCTATCCTGTTGTTCACCAGCGGCCACATGTTCAACCAGATTCGCAAGGTTCCCTATGTTGCCAACAACCCGCGGGGTGGCGTGAGCTACTTCGCTGCTGGCTTCCAGAACCAGTACGGTATGGAGACTCAGGTTGTAGCTGCTTTGTGTAAGTTCTGATCAGCTTCCATTGTGTGTGCTTTCGGATCGCTGACTTCGCATGATTTGTTAGACGGTATCCTCTCCTTTGCTGCCATCTCCTTGGCTGTCAAGGTACCCAGAATTGCCGATCCCAGGTCCCAGGTTATCACGGTCTGGGCTTGGAGCGGCGTCATCCTTGTTGTGTACAGCTTCCTCCTCAGTGTCTTCCGAGTCAAGAACGCTGGCTACCCATTCTACCTGCCCCCGTTCATGTAAGATGGCAGCGACGGTGACGAAAAAGTATAAACGACACATGCTGCCAAGATTTATAGCATCAAGCTTTGCGCCATCTTTCTGGAAGCTGAGTAGGCATATTTAGGCGGGTTTTGTTTTAACGGACATTGTTAGTTGTAAAATAGAGGAGCCCACTTGCTCCTGAGAGGGATGTGAAAACAAAAGGAATAGAGCCATTCAAGTCATTGAGCGCATCACAAAGCATTGGCGCAAGAGACAAAGTTTTTGAGTTCTCCATGAAGCCCCTGTCGGAATCATGTGTCTGCTAACGGTTTAAAAGATGCAACTGGCGACGTTGTCTTGTTCCTACTCCGGCCCTTTATTACTCGCATCTGATAATACCATCAACCGTCAGGTTCCACACTCTGTCAGCAACTCCGTTTCGTTAACAGTCCTGAACATTGAGCGGCAAGCAATGGCTGACCAGAGAGGACGAGATGTTGATCCGTCTAGTCGTTTTAGCCGAACCGGCGCGGGAGGAAGAGAGCATTATACTTCGGACGTAACGTACCGGGCGGCATATTTTACCCCAGCTTTTCCACTCGCGGATTTGAACGCGCCTCACGACTGGCGAGTGTGCCGGCTAATAAGCCGCGGCTTAATGAACGGCACTTTATACCCAACAGCGAATAGCAAGCAACACAACCCGTCTCCAGATCATGGGATTGCGGATCATCCATATCGAGCGCGATTTATCCAACAACTACCGCTTGGTGATTTGACCAATTCGATCCGGAGGACCCTTCGGTGGCCATCTTGTATCTCAGCCCATCGCAAGGACAAGACAGCAATTCCTATCTTCAGAAAGTCTAGAACTTCGGAAAGATGGTTGTTTCTTGACCTCTCATTGTGAAGCAACTTGGAGGGTATAGAAAATAAACGCCACTCATAGCCGTTGTGTTACTCGGGGGTGGCATTTCCCCAGATCATCAAATTCGGCATTTATGAAACAATCATACACATTTACCGATGGCAAAACCACGGTGCTCCAAGAGAGGGTAGGGTACAACTCTGATGTCACTTGACCCGACGTTGTCGAACGTTCATCACAAGGTTATCCATGTTGGTCGAGTACCATAACAAGACGAAGACCCTCCGCCTCCCAGTAACTGTCCGGGTGTCGAAGCCTTGAGCCGAGATTGTAGCCGCTTCGATACTGAACTTCAAAACCCACGGAGCCTCAGCCGGCTTGCAATATGTACATATTTTCTCCGCAGATCCCAAGAAGGGCATCTTACTGCATGGGAGGGATCTCCTCACAAATTGCCCAAGATCTTCAAAGACGTCTTAGACTAAGGGGCCGCCATCCGAAAGGGACTTACACACCCACACCCACCATAAGACGTGCATGAAGCGAACTACCTTTCCATATTGGGTTTCCTTCTCCAGGATCGATTCCTCCTCGTCCTCCTCCTCCAGACGCTCAACTTCCCCACACTTTCCCAACAACCAATCGCCAATCCCATGCTCGGCCCGAGCAATGGTTCGACAAAGAAGGCAAGAGATTAAAGTAAAGTGCTATATGAACAAAAGTGGGCATGGGACCTGGAGGACGTAGCTCTTCCGTCCACTGAAGAGCTGTAAGCGGTTGAGGCGACTCTAAAAGCCCTGCATGAGACGTATCCAGGCGAATGTCCTTGGTCAAGGCGGACTCTCTCAAAGTGACGACCTCGGAAGTTCTTGGCCGAGAAGATCTCGCGTGTGACGGGCCTGCCTTCCTGATTGCCATGCTGTGTCATTGTTCATCTCCAACCGCACCTCAGGAAGATGGGAGGCGAGGCGAAATCGGCACGACTAGGTAGAGAGAAAGATGCAGTGTGTATGGCTCAACCTGGTTAACCAGAATACAGACAACCGGGACAGTATGCCGACTGGAACTGAGGAAGAGAACTCATCAGTATAAAGACCACAGAGCACCCTCTTTGCTTCTGATCCTGACATCTCACTTCACCTCCTCCCATCACACTCAAGTAGTCTTTGGTTCGTTAGCCCCCTTTCACGATGAAGTTCTCCAACTCCGCCGCGCTGGCCTTCGCCGCCACCGCCATTGCTGCCCCTTCTACCCCTACTTCCCAGGACAAGCCTCGCGCCATCCAGGCCGGCTGCGCCTCGGCCGTCACTCTCGACGCCAGCACCAACGTGTGGAAGAAGTACACGCTCCACGCCAACAAGTTCTACCGCACCGAGGTCGAGGCGGCCGTCCAGGCCATCTCGGATTCGAGCCTGGCGTCACAGGCCGCCAAGGTAGCCGACGTCGGCAGCTTCCTCTGGCTGGACACGATCGCGAACATTGGCAAGCTGGAGCCGGCGCTCGAGGACGTCCCCTGCGACCACATCCTGGGCTTGGTCATCTACGACTTGCCCGGCCGTGACTGCGCTGCCAAGGCCTCCAACGGCGAGTTGAAAGTTGGCGAGCTCAACAAGTATAAGACTGAGTATATTGATGGTGAGTCTTCCACTCTTCACACCCATGCCATGACCTGATGGCCCATGATATCACAGATAGAAAGAAAGAAAGCAAAAAAGGCTAACACACCACTTTCACCACCAAAAACAGTCATCGTCAAGATCCTCAAGGCTCACCCCAAGACCGCCTTCGCGCTCGTCATCGAGCCCGACTCGCTCCCCAACCTGGTCACCAACGCGGACGTGCAGGCTTGCAAGGACTCTGCTTCGGGTTACCGCGACGGCGTCGCCTACGCCCTCAAGAACCTCAACCTTCCCAACGTCGTCATGTACATCGACGCGGGCCACGGCGGCTGGCTCGGTTGGGATGCCAACCTCAAGCCTGGAGCGCAGGAGTTGGCCAAGGCCTACAAGGCTGCCGGATCTCCCAAGCAGGTCCGCGGTATCGCCACCAATGTTGCTGGATGGAACCAATGGTATGTTTCCTTTTTTTTTTTTTTTTTTTCGCTCTTTCCTTCTCAGAACTGAGAGAAGAGGAAAAGGACTGGTCACCAACTAATAAATCTTGCTTCGCAAAAAAAACAGGGACCTCTCCCCCGGCGAATTCTCCAAAGCCTCCGACGCCAAATACAACAAGTGCCAAAACGAGAAGCTGTACCTCGACAACTTCGGCCCTGCGCTCAAGTCGGCCGGCATGCCCAACCACGCCATCGTCGACACGGGCCGCAACGGCGTCTCGGGTCTGCGCGAGGAGTGGGGCAACTGGTGCAACGTCAACGGCGCCGGCTTCGGCACCCGCCCGACCTCGACCACGGGCCACGATCTCGCGGACGCTTTCGTCTGGGTCAAGCCCGGTGGCGAGTCGGACGGTACGAGCGATAGCTCCGCGACTAGGTACGATAGCTTCTGCGGAAAGAGCGATGCGTATCAGCCGAGCCCAGAGGCGGGTAACTGGAACCAGGAGTACTTTGAGATGTTGTTGAAGAATGCTAAGCCTGCTTTTTGAATTTGAGGTTGAGTAAAAAAAGGGGGATGGATGACGGGATGTTTGGGTAGGAGGCGGTTGGAAGGATGGGGAATGGGGAGCTGGATGGATTCGTTGTCCTTGGGGAAGGAAGGAGGAAGAACTTGGATATAACAAAATGTTTTGTTACCTGTAACCGGTTTCTCATGGGATTGATTGCGTTTTGTTCCCTCTCGAGGCTCTCATAGTTCAACAACAATTTATCCAGCTAGTGGGGTAGTCATGGCGTGCAAGATGGCTTCCCTTTTTGCTCCCTGAGATCATTTGACAACTTTGTCTCTAGGCATGATACGCAGAATCCTCATTCAGATACTGAATATCTAGAAGCTCGGGATGATGTCTTGACCGCCGAGTGTCATCATCTCACCCATGGCTGCTCGTTGTTAATGTCGAAACTCGAAAATGATGTTCAGGGTCCCCAGGAGTCATCTGCTGGATACATCTCCACTCTCAGGCCCGCTTGCCACGTGTGGTTCGAATCCAACTTTGGGTCGATGAAGGCCTGGTCCCTGTTGTCATCCACACTGTAAGCGCGAAAGTCATGGTAGAGATATCAACTTTGTCTCACTCTCCTGTTTGACTGTTGAAGGACTGTGTTGATATAGGTTCGCGCAGGAGGAGGAAATTATCCAAAAAAAACAACAAAAAAAAACAGGGGGTTTGGGAAGGAGACGGCAGGTAATCATGAAGACATGGCAGTGATGCTGCGCGCTTGTAAACAATAACCAGAAACATATAAGCTAGGTATACAATAAATAGCAATACAGCCGATCGTGAAAGAACAGAAAACGCCCATGTTGCAGAAGGCGCTCGCCAAGGTCGACATCACAACTCAAAGGAAGAACATAAGACAACAAAAAAGGAGAAAAAAAATTATTGGATGGTTGGCTGATCAGTAACCATAGGGACCACCCTCCTGAACATCAATCACCCCAGATGGCTCACAACTGTCACTACGGTGGCGCAGGAAGACGAGTGGGCGGCCGAAGCCCCCGTTAGTACCCTAGACGGATCTAAAAGTACTGTGCCTGAGCCAATGTTGAGTGAAAAACAGCCGCCACCATGGGTGTCGAACCCATGGCCTTGTGAGCGGGGAGTGGTGAGCGAGCTGTGCGCATCACCAAGTCCCACTCGGCCAACCACCCCGATGACAAAAAAGCTCAAAGACCTGACTTATAAGGTCCCTCCCCTCTGTCGTCCAGTCTTCTTATGGCACGGGCCCCAGGCAGCGACCGTTCCTAAGCGAATTACCGGGTGCTCCGTCAAGGTCTCCTCTCCCGGCGCTCGAGCGGTCGAAAAAAAGTCGCGAGCGAGTGATGACACCGATGTTGCACAAACGAAACAATAGCCCAGTAAGGGCAAATAGGGCCAACATGATAGCATTTGCTAGACATTCCTCGTCGTCCAGTGTAGTTTACTCTGCGGCTCATCGTGAATATCGGCTGCGGCTTTCAGCGGTTGACTGACACTGTGGTATTCGCCCCTTCTGGACCGGTTCGATCGGGGGTCTTATTCGCCCAAAGGAGGCATCATCGGCTGCTCCGTACTGGCCATTTCAAGGGCAGGCATACCACCTCTCAAATTGCCTCACTTGAACAGTCTATACATGCCCAAATAGGCCATGCCGCATGAGAGACCGGTGATGGCCCATCTCCTGCTCCTCATACCAAAGAAGGACTTGCTGGCTAGGATCTCGGCTTGGGCCTTGTTGAGCTGGGAATGACCGGAGTAGTAGCTGTACGCGGCAAGACCAAGAAAAGCACCTCCGCCTACAGAAAACTGTTAGCTTCTGAAGTTCTCAAGTACGGTCACAGGGGCTCTCACCAATGACACGGCAGGGAAGGCAGTCATCACCACGGTCCTGCTTGAGGATGTCCTGGAGCTTCTCAGGCCTATCTAGGGTGTGAATAGAAGGAACGTCTTTGGCCATGGCTGATGACTTGACTGAGAGTTGAACGAGTGTGTTGACTCTGTCTAATGATCCCCCTATTGGCTCCTTTCGCGTGTTATTGACACCCCGGATGAGAGCTCCCGGAGACGTGGAGTGAACAGTGGAGCTTGTTGGAGAGAGAGATCTGCCGTCGTCCACCGCCCACGCCGTTGGCTTACCAGTACCTACCTAGTCGAGCCTTGGCAGGGCAGAGCATGTTGTTCCCTTTGCGGGTTCGCATTGCGTCAGTGCTTGACAGTGACAGCGCTGGACTCGGTCCCAATTGTCCCTGCCCATCGCTGATTGCCCAACTGCAACCCACAAGCCAGAGGACCACCATCACCGAACCCCTCCTGTTATCGAACTTAACCCTTAAGGTTCCTCCGTCTTTCTTCCTTTTTCTTTCACCATGAACGGCGTCATCGAGGCCCTCCACATTTTCGACGAGCTCAAGTAAAGCTGCACCCTTGACACAGAACAATGGAAGATACAAAAGCTAATTCCCAACTCCAGCAGCCCCATCCTGTCGCATACATACACATCGCGTCCGCTGTCGCCGTCGTACTTGCTGCCCCTCTACCTCGAACATGCCGCCCCGAGGCCGAACCTGATATACCTTCCTAATACCAACCCACCAACTCTCGTCTTCAGTCTCAAACATGCCAACCTTCTGTTTCTCTTAACAACCTCCTCCGAGGTCGAGCCACTGCTCGTTCTCGAGTTTCTCCACCGCATCGTCGATTCCTTCGAAGAGTTCCTGGGCACCCCATTACTGGCCCACAAGATCGAGAGCAACTACGATGTCGTGGCCCAGCTTCTCACAGAGATGTGCGATGCCGGCACCATCAACACAACAGAACCCAATGCGCTGCGCGACCTGGTCGAGGTAGAAGGCTTCATGGGAAAGCTCCTCGGGAACTTGAACCTCCCCTCGTATGATCATCCATTACCCGTTACGGACAAAACAAAACAAACCCCTGACTGACCTGCACATCTCTCCAGGAAACCTACCTTTTCCAACCCAAGCCCAGCCTCTCTTCTCGCCCAGCAGAACACTCTAGCCCTCCCCTGGCGCCGAAATAACGTGCGACACACCCAAAACGAGCTCTACGCCGACGTGATCGAAACCCTCTCCGTCACCCTTGCCCCATCCGGCCGACCTCTCGCCGCCTTCGCCAACGGCACAATAGCGTTCACCTCCAAGGTTTCGGGAGTGCCCGACATAGTCGTCACCCTGACCGGTCCAACCGGAAAGCACAACCTCGGCAGCATCATCGACCTGCCCGTCTTTCATCCCTGCGTGCGCCTCGCAAAATGGCGCGAACAACCCGGTGTTCTCAGCTTCATCCCGCCCGATGGCCGCTTCACCCTAGCCGGTTACGAAGTCGACCTCCTCCCGCTGGGCGCCCGGAACATTGGCAACATGAGTGCTTCAGCAAACAATCTCAAACTGCCCGTCAGTCTCGAGGTCAAGACCTGTCTTGGTCCGACAGGTTCCGACTTTGAAGTCCGCCTCACCGTCAACAGGATCCCCGGTACTGGCGGGGGCAGTGGCAGCGGAGGTGGTGGCTCATCGTCCAACTACCCGCTCTCCTCAGCCAGCGGCGTCGGTCGTGGCATGGGAGGCGGTCCCCAACCCGGCACGCCCGCCTTCCCCACGCTTCAAGACCTCACAGTCACGGTCCCCCTACCGGCAGACGTGCGCAACCTCGCCGAGATCCGCACCGCCAAGGGCGACGCCACTTATAACCCCGGTGACCGTTTCCTCGAGTGGACTATTCCCAACAAGGACGTGGCAAGCGGCTTTGCTTCACATTTCGCTCTGCGCTGCACCGTCGTTGGTCAATCTTCTGCCGGCGACGACGAAGACGATAACGACGACCCTACCGGCTTCGGGTTTAACACCTCCGTCGGAGGCCGCGACTGGTCCTACGACGCCGGCGAAGCAGCTCCTTACCAGAGCGCTAGCGATCTTTTGTCAGGCGGTAGTGGTAAACAACCACTTACAGCCGAGCAAGAAAAGGAGGAAAAGGAGCGCAAGGACGGGAAACTGGCGCAGCAGAACAAGATCTTGATGCCCAGCTCGGCGAGCGTGAGCTTTGCGGTTAAAGGGTGGACGGCGAGCGGGATCAAGGTGGAGAGCATCTTGCTGGATCCGAGGAGGAGTAAAGGGCTGGCGGAGACGGTGAGGCCGTTTAAGGGGGTCAAGTATTTGACTGTTAGTAAGGGGGGTGTGGAGATTAGGTGCTGAGGCATCATGGATGGTGGATGGGCTGGGAGTTTTCTCTCAAGAGCATCAGAAAGTGTGTGGAAAAGTAATGGAGGTGTGGCCGTGGTGACCCAGTTATGTTTACCAGCCTGCTTTAGAGACAATGCTTTAGAACCGATGATTGTTTTGTCTTGTTGAGTGTCTATAGGAGCTAACCAGCGGTGTGTGGGCGTCGTCTCTTGATCCAAAGACATCAAAAATTCCATTTCGCAAAATACACTTGCAGTTAGCAAAAAGGTATCATATGGTGGATGTCAAATTTGTTCCTCTTGGTTTTTGGGTTACAATATATCTATAGCAATAGCATCATCCGCTGTCGTAATCAATATGGCGTTCCTTTTCTTGTCCCTCTTTCCGGCCTGATTTTACTTACTTTCGAGCCTCGCGAGTATTTAATGTTGTCAAGACAGTAGTAAAATACTGGCCTTGGGCGCAACCACCCCTTTTTCTTACACCCGCCCATAATTTTTCCAAAAGATACTCGATAGCCTTTTCACACTCAACGGCGGCGGTTTTGCCGCATATTATACGGTAATATGATTATTATCGAGATCTCCATAGCTTTCTTCTAGACGGAACAGGCCATGCATTCGGTTTACCGGGCTTTTTGCTCGTTACAAAGGAAAGGAGGGCGCTGCGAAAGCAATCAGTTGGAATGGTGGCACTCATTACACTTTCAAAAGAATAACGACCAAGGAAATATCAAGCAACAACTAAGTACTCCATCCAGACTTTGAAGAACATTTCAGCTGCTTGTGAGAAATTACACCAAATATCACGTTCAACACATACAATAACTCAAGGTTTATCATAAGTAGAGTAGCTTGTCTGTCTATCTTCTTATTAGATTAGATTTACTCACTCAGTGCCTCAGTGTCTGTCTGAAATTGGTACCATCAGATCAAATTTTATTCACGGCCGTTTACATCCTACCATCCTTTCCTGTCTAAATTTTAACGGATGACATGGGCACATCATAAAGCGTACCACCCCTTCTCCTATGTCCTTCTGCAGGTCAACAGTCTTCCTCGTTCCTGGTAATTTATGGCCATGATGTCAGCATGTCGCCTGCGAGTCCAAGTCATCACACTCGAAAGAACGGTTGCTTGCCAACGAAGTTTTCTGTCATCCATCCTAAACAAGGCAATCACAAATGCTGCCGAGTATCTTATCGTAACCTGCTGTGTTGCGTCATCGCCGTTAGTCACAGGGTAGTCAGAGGCAACCGACTGTTGGGGATCAACCCCAGTTTTGGATCTCGAATATCCCAGATTAAGGGCTTTCCATCAGTTAGCAAAGTTAGCCGCCTATGCAACATGATGAAACTGTTATGAGTGGCAAAATCCATCAAGTCACAATCTTGTGGTGTTGTTGCCAGAAATAGACCTGAAATGATCCCGAAGACCAACGGTATCATGTGTTTTTAGACAAGAGAGGGCTCCAATTCCCACTTGATTACTACATGTGTGATGCCACGCAAGTCATGATGATAACCGCTTGGCTATAAATAATGTGCTGGTGGAGATGAGGGGAGAAGGCAGGGAGAGAAAGGGTGATGTTGGAGTGTCCCTGCTAGGACGTTGTGGGTTCAGAAACACTGTGCTTCGAGAAGAAGAAGAGATGAGATGCGAGAAGAGTCTTTTGTGACGACGCTAGTGTCTGCAAGTAATCATGAAGGTTTAAGTCAAGCCCACTAGACTCCCAGGGATGCATATATCTCCGAGTGTTGGCCTGTATATGTATGGGTGAGCGGTAAGGTTCAGGGGTAGGTACAAGAATAGGTCGTGATGTTGGAAGCAGTGACGTTAAAAGTGGATCCAACCACCAACGCAGATACGATGTTGAGATCTGGCACAGATGGCCCAGGTACTGGTACCTATGTGCGGCTCTTCATCATGCCCTGGACCCCAAACCAACGCGACCACGAGGCATGGCATGTGGAGGCTACTAACAAACATTGCTTCGGCTAAGTGTGATGAAGGGATCGTTGACGCAGATGCCCATCTTGGGATGCGGAGGACGGGTAGATGTGACGGAATGCTGGGTACCCTGGCACTGGGGAGATGTTGTTGGTCCGGCCAGAGAAGCAGAACAAAGAGAATGGGTCGGGTTTGGTGTTCTATATTTGGCCAGCCAAGTGATGATACCGATGATCCGGCTTGACGTAACGGCGATGGCCCTAGTAAATCCCCGATGGTGTTGAGAAGAGGCAGCCACAACCGCCGACGCTGCATTAGACTTCGTTTGAGCCGCCCAGGGAAGCGCCGTGACTCTGGTTGCGTTGCATATCCATCATAGACTAGCCAAGCTAGTCCAATGCCATTGACATATGTTCCCTGATCCAACAAAGTTGAGGGAGGAATTGTCTGAAAGGCGTATTGCGGGTGTAGGCGCCCGGCGTATAGATGGATCGTAGAAGATGAGGGCCAGCTCCCGACTTGATACTGTATGCATAGCATTCAATGTTGACAGTGATGTTGACAAGGGATGAAGCAGAGCGTGTCGCCCGTGCACGTCAGATCTGACTAGTAGCCGTTATTGTGTTGCCATGACTGCACGGAATGGCAGGAGTTGTCAAGGTATAATGGCCACCCTTGAACTCGGTATGCGGGCATGGGAGTCAAGGGATGGCTGATGGACGGCTCTGTTTGGCTGACGAGGACCTGGAGAGACTGTTAGGCGCCCGATATTCTGCAAATAACTGGGGTTATCTGAACTTACTGATGATGGATGGAAGCGTTCTAGAAGGGAAAAGGACGTGAACAGGGCTGTTGTTGACACCAAAATAGTTCATAGGGCGCTTAGGAGCATTCAGGTTGACGTGGGTTCGTGGGGTAAACACGGAAGCCTTGGCAGGGGCATCGAAACAGTGGAAGGCGGCTAAATGCCGAGACCGCGGCGGCTCCAGCGAATTGCGAAGCGGTTGGAGTCTTCAATGGTAGCACCTCAAGCCAATCACAGGTCAAAGAAACGGGTCAGTGGTTCGTTTTGCCGTCATGTTTTAAAAGGGCTTGTTTTGTCGCTGAGCACTGGCAAGCAGTTTGACTGTCCTCTCGAGGATGGCGTCGTAGAGGTAGTTGTGGTATCGGGGACCTTGAAGCATTTCAAACTGAAAAGATGGATGGAATGTTTGGATCGTGGGATGAAGCGAAGGAGATCTTCGGGCATGCCGCTGTGGGACGGGACGATGCAGTGAGGTGCCTACCCAGGAAGGGGAACGGCGAGCCAGGGCCTGCCACCCGAACGGTGAACCTGTGCCCGGGGCCCGACGCCACGAACAGACAACCGGGCATCGTCGCGACGACACCTGCAGAAGAAGAGAGTGAGGTGGTGGGTGGTTGTACCTTACCCACAACAGAACCAAATTGTTTGGCAGGGAATGAGTGCTGCAGTGATGGCGAGCGGGTGTTTGTCGCAAGCGGCATGAACTTGAGGTTGGGCAGTGGAAGGTGCCCTGCTCCTTGACCGCGGGGTTCTTGACAGGCGACCTCAACTTTTTGTCTCAGATTTTGTCTTTTGCAATCTCAACCCCGCGTCCGACCAGCACCTGCCACCACGACCGTGACATTTTTGTTTTGGCAGGGACGGAATGGCAGCATGGATTGCGGTTGCCCGTTTTGGACAAGGTCCGTCTTCTTCCTGAGGAAGCAATCCCGTCGAAACCATGGCGGTGAGTGAGATCTGGCCGAAATGTCGAACTGGGGCAGGTGCGGATGAGTCGTATGGCAGGGGTCAGGTACGACCTTGGGGTTGCATTTCACCAATTTATTCCATCTTTTTTCGTTGAGGTTGTGCTTTTCCCAGTCCTTTCCACTTTGCTGTTGCCTCGTCGAAAGTCGTTGGCACCTCCTTCCAACTGCAGTGCTTCCCAGAGTGACAACCCACAACAGCACAACACCTGCACGGTCTCCCATTCTGCACTTGAACTGTAACCAAACTTTTCTCCTCTGCCTCCTCCATCTCCCACATTCCGAGTCCGCTTGGACCTTCATCATATGCCAAACACTTTTGAATCTTCCAACATGACTGGTCAATCAACGACGGGGGCTTCCTATCTCGAATCCCCAATTTGTGTGAAACGCACATGATTTCGACGCCCCGGGCAGCAAGCACCATGACGGTCCAGTGCCGCGATATTCCCGACTTCCACTTCCCCACCACTACAGTAGCCATCAGTGCCTGTCACTACTGTGGTCTACTACGCTGAGCGCCGGAGGAAACGAAGAAACGAGGAGACGACGGCAGGCTACTGGTCGGTGGTCGCTCTACACACCCTGTCTCTACATCAGCCCAAGTCCCAAATAGGCCGTCCATGGTTCACCACGACAGCGTCAGCACTGACCATGGCGGAATCAAGCCGTCCTCGACAAGCGATGGCACACGAATTCTCGATGCTCGATGGCACGCCAGAGAACAGGCGACCGCTCAGACTCTTGTTTCGTCACGCAACGTGTCTGTAGTTCCATATCCCACCGGACGCTGGGATGTCTTCGTTATAGGGCCAGGGTGGCTGATTTAGGTCAAGGTAAGTCGTTAACAACGGTAGTATCAGTTCACCCAACATCGCCTTGAATCACGTATACTGATTTGCATGATAGCACTCTCAGGCACTCTCGTTGGGTCCTTGTGCATCTACATATATGCAGCTACTTCACCACATCACAAGTGCTGGACGTGCTCCCTCAACAACACCGGACTGTAGACAGTGAATCGCAAAATGCGTCTTTGGCGCGCTCAGAAGCAAAAGATCCGCCCGGCCGGATCTGATATGCCAAATACAACCAGGGACCATACATGTTGACCAGTGTGTGTCCAACAGCACGCCTATACAGGTCGGCAGCTGGCAAACTGTGTGGTATGCCAGCAGCCCGTCGCAGCTGTAAATCTCGAAAACCACAACCATGGAAGCTCAGGATACACACCATCCCCTTCGAGCCCTTCTTATCTGCAAAGGGCATGGTCGGGTACCAGTCACGACTGGT